AAGCAAAGAAGTGAGTATAGAGTCACGTCCCTTTAAAAGTGAGTATGTGTTCTTCTCACAGAAGTTATAAAAAATTAATAATGTTTTTGACTACAGACAAAAGGTTAATAGATTCCAGACCATAAACACTTTCCCAATATATTCTAGATTCTTTTACTATAACACTGTAAGGCAAGAAATAAAAAGTTGACATACCTTAAAAAACTTTCTTCTAGGGTTAGGATATAGCTTGGTAGTAAGGAGTTTAGGCAAGATTTGGCAGGATATGTGAAGACCTGGCTTTAATCCCCATGGCCGCATGGAGAGAGCTAACAGGGAGGAGGTGAAAGTAATTAATGCATTACATACCTACATGACATCATCAAAAAAACCAAATTTAATTATTAAAAACAACCCTCAGATAAACCAAGTCATTAAAACAAGTATCATGGATAATTTAGCTTCCTTTCTGAACAGAAGCTAAAAGTGTAATGTCAATAAGACATAGAAGGTCACTGAGTACACTGGATGGCCAAGTGGGATCCATTAACATAATGCCAGTAAACACGGCAGCTAACAGAATGACACGTGGGGTATTCTCCTGTGTCCCAAACACAGAGGCAGAGGCTGGAGAGGCAGAGGCTGGAGAGGCAGGATCTGACAGCACTGTCTTTAAGGGGAAAACATCACATCGAGTGTGGAAGTTTTAACTGACAAAATCCATCAATTGTCATGGGGCTGCCAAGCAAATCTAATGCAAATTTTCTCCTGCAGGAATAGATACGTGTGTTTTTTTTAGAACAAGAGAGGCAGTGGTCAGCTCCACTCTGCACACATTGCACTCCTACACTGGGCATTTGTTTCGGGGCTCCAGTGGTAGAAGCGTACCCATTCTGTTGAAAGAAACCTGAGCGTGGAAGGCTTACCAAAGAGATTCTGTGTAAGGCAAGGTGGGAGGGAGAGAAAGGTGTGGCCTGAACCAAGGCACCCCCTTGAACTTGAAGCTGTTCTCAAGTTTATGGGGGGCTTTTATGTAGAAAGGCACAGTCATGGGAACCCAGATTTCCATGACTCATAATATCCCAAAGAGGACAAAACTGCTCAGAGAGATGGCCAGTCCCCAGTCATAGGAAGTATTCTGACATACTCAGTGTAAATAGCAACATGGGTTATCTTTTAATGGTTTATTATTTTTATTTATGTGTGTGTGTGTGTAACATGAGGGCCGGACTTGTTGGGGTTTCTGTCCTGCCCAGTTCCCACAGCCAGCAAGTCCCAAAAAAAAATCACACAGAGAGTCTACATTAGATATAAACTGATTGGCCCATTAGCTCAGGCTTTGTATTAACTCTTATAACATATATCAACCCATTATTCTTATCTATGTTAGCCACATGGCTCAGTACCTCTTTCAGAGGGGCAGATCACATCCTACTTCTTCTGTGATCTGGGCTTCCTCCTTCCTAGAATTCTCCTGTTCTCACTGCCCCGCCTCTACTTCCTATCTGGTTGGCCCACCTATACTTCCTGCCTGGCCAATCAGCATTTATTTAAAACGTGATTGACAGAATGCAGACAATTTTCCCACACCATGTGTACACACACATGTACATCACATTCATACAGGTACCCTAGAAGGTAGGAATTGGATCCCCTGGAACTGGAGTTACAGGCTATTGTGAACTGTATGATACTGGTGCCATGCTCATAACTGCTAGGCCATCTCTGTAACCTCACGGAAAGAATTTTAATACCAATAAGAAGTGGTTGGATGAGACAAAGTTCCCAACCCTAGAATTCTTCAATTAGAGTTTAGCATTCCTTCGCTATGGTCTGTTAGCATCTGAGTTTGATATCCAAAGTGTAAGGCAGGTTGTTATAGGTTTTCAGTATTAATCTCTTGAGCCCAAGAGCTTTTTATATTATTGTATTATTGTTAATGTAAAAGTCTGGGTATTCACAACTTAGCAGAGGCTGTCTGAGTCCCCAGTGAGACCTATATAGGTCAGGACTACTTACAATCCCATGTGAAATGGTCAAATGAAAGTACAGGCATCCAAGGAATTCTGACAAGGTGTCCATCAGTGAGGGTGGGAAAGATGGGTTCCTCTCAGAGAACACTTCAGAGTCTGTGTGTGTTCTGCAGTGAGAGTGGAAATCCCAGCAACAAAGGCGCACAATCAGCAGACACCATGGGTCATTTCTTTACTTTGACTGCAGAACACAGCATACCTAGCTGGGCCGATGCTCGACACATGCACAGATCTTTTTTGGGGGGGGGGGGGCTCTGGCTATCACAGCACTGTGGAGCTCACTCCCACAGATATGCACACTCCAGCTCTGCAGCTCCTGCTATACCCAGCCAGAGCCTCTGATGGATTCTACTGATGGGAGATTTTAGCCACTAAACCTTTGCTCCACCTCCCAATGCCTCTAAGCTCTTCCAAACCCAGCCCTGATTGTCCCATGGTTCCTAATCCTAATTACAAACATAAGTAATTCTGTATGTTTATTGGGCCATTGTGGTCCTGGATGCTTTTCGCATTCACTTTCTCCTTGGTCCATCCTGACAATGCTGGAAAGAATGTTTAGGACAGGAGCTTCTTGAACACCAGAGCACTTGTTCAAGGTCACACTGAGGAGACAAGCCTGTTCTGGAATAAGGGTCCTCTGACCCTTGAACAGGCTTAGTAATGGCTTATAAAAATAGCACCCTCATGTTCCTATCCCCTGGGGCTTGGTGTCTTCTGACCCAGAAGGATCATGCTGTTATGTAGGCCTGCAGAAATCTCCAGGAGACTAAAGTCCACAGAGTAGTCCAGACAGGTTCGGCATCACTGGTCCCCATTGAGGTCCCAGGCTTCTTGGTAGTAGAGCAAGGAGGGCTAGCCTTGGGTACTATGCAAAGGAGGGTTAGCATTGGGTACTATGCCAAAGAGAGCTAGCATCAGGTACTATGCAAAGGAGGGCTAGCATGGGGTACTATGTAAAGGAGGGCTAGCATCGGATACCATGCAAAGGAGGGCTAGCATTGGGTACTAGTTAGAGACTGTCTGCTTTCACTTCATGTATCTTATAACGGTTATAAAATAAGTTAATTCACGACAAGCAAACTGTCAAGTGAGCATGGAAAAACATCAAGAATATTAATTTAACCAAGCAAAACTTAGAGCAAAATTAATATAACGCATTTAATGGTATCATGGAATTAATGCCCAGCATGGCTGTTAGGCATAGATGGTAAACAGCTTATACGGACGACTCTAATTAGAATTGCTTTAGCAGAGCCAAACCAATTTTGAAGTTGCTCTCGCCCCACTTTGTTCGTTCTCTGGTATTTATATAGTTGCATTTTGCTGCCTGAAGTTTTTCTTGAAGCTGTTTGCCATCTAGCGCCTGGACTGTTTCAAGAGGGTAAAGATAATTCAGGGCTGGAGGAAAAAGTGTGTTTCCTTTGAACTGTGTCTGTGCCTGACCTTGAGGTGCCCCTGTTTCACTACATGGTCTTACTTTCCCACCGTGGTTTTCTTTCTGTTGTGACGGGTTAGCTGAGAGAGAAAGTAACAAGCTCTTATGCCTGTCGTTTCCAAGAAGAAATGCCTCCCTCTGCCCAGGGAAACATGACATTCCTTGATGCTGAGCAGATTCATAGACAGCCCTGGGCTGTGAAACCTGGAGGGACTGGCAGCTTCTGCCAAATGTGCCCGGAAACTACTGTGCAGTCGCTTCAAGTTTCTGGCTCTCGGTGGAGAGCTGTGAGCTGGAATTCAGAGTCTGAGATGATGACCCTGGCCATGGCTCTCATTCCAGTTCTCTGGTCTGGATCCTATGTGTGGTTTCTGAGGAGCAGGAACGACCTGGCTCAAAATGGCTTGTCCTCTCTGCTTAGTATGACCATGCGGTGAAGTCCTCTCCCCCGGAAGAGGAAAGGGCAGTGATGGGGCCATGGCAAAGCCTGGGGCAGTGGAGAAAGCCTGGCCTTAGACCACAGTCCCAGGTGGATGTGGAATGTGAGGGTAAACTGATGGAGGGTTCAGGGTATAATTCTAGTCCCAATCTTCAATTTTTCTTCAGATGTCTCCTCAGTATTAGACCTGGCAATGAGGGCTGTTTCCTCCATTAATAATAAATACTTCCACCCATGAAGGTCAAAGTGGGCTTGCCGTCCTAGAGTTTAGAGTGGCAAGTGATGATTTGTGTGTGTGCATGTGTGTGCATTATATATTCAAAATGGTTCTTGAACACCAAGCTGGAGTTCCTTTTACAAGAGGGGGAAAGTATGGGAGGTGGGAGCCAGAGTGGGAGAATCTTAATGTATATCTAGAGAAAAGCTATGGAAATATGGTTACCATGGGCTGGAAAGTAGTTCTGTTGGTGAAGTGCTTACCTTGAGAACACAGGACCTGAGTTCCTCAGAAACTGCATTTAAAAATAAAAAAGCCGGGCAGAGGGACATGTGCTTATCCTACTACCCATGTCCCGTGGGCCCTTAGAATGGATGAGAGGATACTCAGAGGCAGAGCAGGAAAAGGTCACTGTCAACGTGAAATCTTTGTGAGCGACATGGACTTAAGCTCACAATTGCACGAGGGTCCCCTGTTGGTACAATGCCAGGGCTGATGTAGAGAAGCAGAGAATGCATCCACTGAGCAGCAAGGAATCTCTCCAGGGTGTGATTTCAGACTGTCTAGCTGCAGAGGCATGGGGGGAGTAGGGATGGAGAATACAGAAGGCCACGCTCAGTGTCGAGTGAAGCAGAGTCCAGAAAGGGATCCGGGACAACTTTCCTGTGGAGTGCATGGGTCCCACAGTGATCTGGAAGACAGGAGAGGGCTCATGATGTCCTTTAGCATCTACAGTTGATGTGGCTGGTCTCTGTGCACTCAGCCTTGTCTGGTGAGTTATCCTGGGCTGGCCTGACATAGGAGGTCCTTCAGCCGTCCACAGCTCCAGGAACCATGGCTGTAGGGTAAGTGGACCTTGGGAAGGACCCAGTCAGTTCCTCCTTCTGTCACCTCTAGGAAAATCGCGGCTTATGATGAAGAAATCCAGCATCTCTATGAGGAGATGGAGCAGCAAATCAAAAGTGAACGGGAGCAGTTCCTCCTGAAAGTGAGTGTTGCCCTCCTGGGTCTGGTACTTGGGCATGGCTGCTTGGCCTGTAGACTCTGAACACGTTCCCCACTAAGATCCCAGCACACTACCGTGACCGTCTCCTTCGCCTTCATGTTCAAGCCACTTATCACCTTCAAGCAAAGTATAGTGGACTTGTTTATCTTTGTCTCATGGTGTCTGCTTCCTCCTACTAAGGTGTGAGTTCGTTTGCTTGCTAGCCTAGCCTCAGTTTCTAGAGCATTCTTGGACTATAGGAGATGGCACATATTTGCTCAACCAATGCGTGAGTGAGCAGGTGAATGCATGGAGGTGTGGGAGGATGAACTGACAGAAAAGAAGGAAGGAACGGAGGGAGGGACCACGGATGAGAAAGGATGGATGGATAGGTGGATGGATGGATGGATAGATGGATGGATAGATGGATGGATGGACAGATGGATGAAGGAAGATAAGTGGATGGATTGTTGGTGTGTGGATAAGAGAGAAGGAGAAGAAAGGGTGAGCAAGAAGGAAATAAGAAAGGAGGAGGAAGGAAGAAGTAAATGTGTAATGGAGGGATTGCAGACTATACTTTTGCAGCCAAGGCAAACTGGACATAGGGTATCACTCAGTTGAGCCCTGCACCTATGTAGCAGGACCATCAAAACACACCAGCTCATTTTATTCTCTAAGCAGCAGCCCCGAAGAAAACAGTCATTAGAAACCAGGTTGCCCGCCATTTCTTTTTAGACAACTAGAAAATACAATCACCAAGAAGAAACAAGGCTACCATCCTCAGCACTGGGAGAGATAATGTGAAGATTGCACCCCCCGTTCTTAGTGCATCCCTGTTACTAATGGACCCTGATCCTAGTGCATTCCTGTTCCCAGTGTATGCTGGTTCTGTTGCAGCCATGTTCCTGCCGTACCCCTGCTCCTAGGGCACTCTGGTTCCTAGGGCACTCCCTTTTCCTGATGTACCCTGTTCCTAATGCATTCCTGTTCTCCATGGGTTCCTATTCCCAGAGCATCCTACCCCTAGTGCACCCATGTTCCTGGTGTACCCCTGTTCCCAATGTACCCCTGTTCTTGTGCACCCCCATTCCTGGTGAACTCCTGTTTCTAATGCACCCCTCATACTAGACTTTTCTAGCCTTTGCTGCCATATTTGAAAGTGAGGACAGACAAGGTGAGGGCCCTCTCCTTATCAAGTCCAAGCTAAGCAAGATCAGTTTTGGTGTGTCCTATTTGAAAACCAAAGACAACAACCCAGGAAACTCTATTCTCCATCCTCCGTGAGTTCTCAGCAAAAGGCTGCTGGTTTTGGACGGCAGCCTCTGCTGCCTCTCAGCGCTAAGCCCAGGCTATTGTCTCAGGCTCTTCACTTGATCCAGATTTCAATTTTCCGCTGCTGTGGATTATCCACACCGCTGCTCCACTTGTAACCACAGCTGCCATTCTCACGGCAGGCAAATCAGAATGCCTTCCAGAAATATCTGGCCGGAGCCCATGGAGGTTTGCCAGTATTTCCAGACCACCCCTATTGTCCTTGGGTGCTTTAAACCTTTTGGACCATTCCAGTGTTCTGGGAAACTGGATGGGTATGCGGTCAACAGAATCCACACACGTCCATCAGCAGACCCAAAATAGCTTCTAACAGCAGCAGGTTCCCCACCTCTGCAATAGGAGAGCCACCCCCTCCATCCCTGTGACAGGCTGCACAGAGGAGACAAGCGCTGAGGACATTTTGCCACCTCTGCCTGGCTAAGGTACACTTCCAGTAGCAAAGGGTGGACTCGGGCAGGCATGGGGCCCGGGAGTGAGAAGAGGTTGCAGGAAAGAAATGAAGAAGTTCACATCATTTTAGATGATCTGGCTCTGGTGCTATGTCCCCTTCCAGTCTCTCCCTTCTCAGTTATAAATATCCAGTCCAGAGAGCTCAGTGCTTGCACGTGAGCTTTTGCTGTGAACACACAAACTCCAAGGGTGGCTTTGGCAGTGCCATTAAGCCTTTAGATAAAGACTTTCACTGGTCCTGGAGTTAGGAGTAGGATACTGCCGTCTGTGACATCATATATAAGGCCAGAGCCTCCGACCAGAGTTTGGATGCTGGTCATACCCATATCAGTACATTTGACCACGAGAAACTACCCACTCATTTGCACCCTCCAACTCCAGACTGGGAGATGCCTCTCAATGATGTCCCAATGGGGTCAATAGCATACTCCATGGGCCCTGTGGGAATGGGCGCATTAGCTTGGGATTTAGAAGCCGCTTTCTGTTCCAGATGATTTCATGAGTTGCCTACTCTGTGAAAAGTGGCTGAGTGAATTAATTTGATCCTTACAGCTGATTTTCTTCAAACAAAGGTGAGGGCAGAAACTGAGTGGGCACCATGCAGACCATTTGCACATGGTTCAGACGAGGATGGGCACAGGTCTTCCTGTATCTTCTCTGCTCATTCTTCTGTTTGGATGTGAGCAGAGGAGCTAGCAGCATCACCAGAAGAGGCCCAAGTCCTTGAATAAAGGTGACCAAAGGGTTGTGAGCTAGGAAGAATTGTTTCCTGGCAGACATGGTAGTCAGAACCCCTGTAGTCACCCAACGTAGCAACTCATAGCTGGCTCCTCTGCCATGAGCTATCCTGGTGCCTTCAGTAATTCCTGATGTGTTTTGGGTTTTCAGTTTATTCGATAGCTTGTCCCTACCTTGTCCTAGACGGGGTGTTGCCGGAAGCAAAGGGCTGTTGGCATCTCTTCTGTTGAAATCCAGGAAAATGAAGCACGTTAGATGAAGAGTGCAGGGACTCAACCCCAAGTTTCCCGACTCAAAGCCTCGAAGCCTTCCACCTGACCTGGCTCTTCCGGGAATGGCCTGCCTCTGAAACCCCATATTATCCATGACACTACAGCCAGACGACATCACATCTGTACCCTCCAAACTTATTCTGTCTGTGTGGAGAAGCCCAGTCTAGGGTGGGAGGGTCAGAGGATGTGGAATTCAGGATAGAGACATCGTGGGGAGGAGGCAGGAATAATGTGCTGTCCCTGGAGCTAGGGTGGTTTAAGGGACCAGTGACAGTGTCCATTGTGAACTAGACTCTCCAAGTTGGAGGCCGCCTTAGACATTTATGGATGGGAGGTTGGCCAAGGAGTCAGACTCAGGCTCCTTCTATCCTGCCCTGCTCCACTAAATGGCTGTCCTTAGGTCATTGTTTAGGTGCGAAAGTTTGGTAAGGTATTGCCACCGGATGTGGCCACATTTTCTGGCCTATCTCTAAGCACTAACTTGGTTTCATGGGTCCTTAGTGGTGGGGTAAGTGGGCCACGGGTTTCAGGAGAAGGGCCTCAGAGTGAAAAGGGATTGGTGGCCCAGCTGGCCCAGCTGATGAGGGTGTTCACGTGCGTGCGTCCAAGGCTGAAAGCCAGGTATACCGGGTGTAGGACCCACTGTCTTCTCTGTTGGCTCGGCAGGACACAGAGAGGTTCCAAGCCCGCAGTCGGGAGCTGGAAAAGAAGCTGAGTGCCAAGGAGCAGGAGCTGGAGCGTCTCATCCAGAAGCAGAGCAGGGTAGGTTACTACGCAGACTCCGTGGCCCCTCAGCCCGTCCAACTCACCTTTGCTTCTGCCCCACCCCCTCTCATAGGTTTTTAAACTTGCCCTGAGAAGTCCTGTACATCTGTATGTGTCTTCCTTTAAAGTCTCCACACGGTGGATATATCGACATATGCATGCAATCACACCACTGGGGAGACTGAGGCAGAAGGATTGTGAGTTCCAGGGCAGCCTTGTGGACAGAGTTCAAAGTACAGCCTGGGCTTTGTAGTGAGGCCCTATCTCAAGATGCTAAAAGTACTTTAAGCATTTTAAAATTTAAATTTAAAACAAAGTCGCAGATGCACCTAGATAATGCCACAGTTGTGTGTTTAACCTAGAAAAGTCCCCACGAGTCCCCAACCCCCGTGGATCTGAGGACAGTTTCACATAAATATACCCAAAGGTAATTATGGATGCTCAACCTCGAAGCTGGATTAGGTCTCCTGCAGCAGAAAGGAGGGATCCAAGGGAGTACAGAGTTACTTGTGAGACCCTGATACTTCAGGGGAGGTTGGACTTAGTTGTCCTCTTCGGCAAAGTTGTGTACAACCCCAGCTGGTAAAGTCTCTTCAAAAACTGCCCACGTGCCTGGACAGGGTCCATGGCCTGCCTCCTCTGGAACACAGCTAGGTGGAAACATTGGTTGTTCCCTTCTCAATGCCTGAACAGAGAAACAGACCGTGTGGCACACTCTGCAAGGTGGCAGCCATGCCTGGAACTAAGGACACCAGGCTCATGGTTCCAGGCTGCCAGGCCAAGTGTCTTGCTCAGCAGTCTCCTCAGAAAAGCAAGAACTCATGGTGGGAATAGAGGCCATGGTAGCACTGATTTCTAGCCTCGGTTTGCCTGGTCCTGGAAGAAACTCAGCCCTGACTAGACCCAGACACATGGCTTTCCTAGGAACAGAGACTATTTTTAGCAACAGGCAAACATAATCTTGAAGATCCCCCTGCTGAGGCTGGGGCTGCTGCCCCTGCTGATCGTTAAGCTTTAGGTCTAAGCCTCTTTCTGCTTTGTAGCAAGAGGCTGCAAACCCTGGGACCTGCCTGCCGTCTTTCCATTCTCCGCCCACAGTCGTACCTTGTCTTGCTTTCCCCTCCGTTATGCATTAAATTCATAGTAATTACATTTATCCCTCAAATGAATGATTGCCACTTCATTTAATTACTGCACGCTTGCTGATAACACAGGAGTCTCATGAGAGGCTTACGACATTCCTAGTTGCTGCTCTTCTCCCCTCACTGGCCACATTCAGGAAACTAAATTTATTATGATCTATTTGCCTTGGTGTGTTGCTTCATCCGGAGAGGGTTGGAAGTCCCACAAAACCTTTTCAGAAGCAGAGAAGAGCTGAAGTTATCAAAATGTACATTTTTAAGTTGCTTCAGGCATGCAAGAAAAGGCATGGGGTCTGTTTGACCTGGTTTGGTTGCTTCTTCAAAATCGCCAGGGTCCGTGGCACTCAAGCAAAGCTCTCTCTTAGATGAAGGGAACTGGGGTCCTGAAGTGGAGAGGAGAAAGGATATGGACAAATTTCTTACTACCTGTGTTCACCACAGGGAACGTGGCTTTACAATGAACAGTCACTTAATTGTTCTCTGTTTCCATCGGGGGCCAAGGCAAAGATGCTGGCTTAGAGGGCAAAAGGGACTTAGAGGAGGTCTCCTGCCCATGGTGCCTTCAGGAAGGAAGACGCAAGTCATCTGTGGAATTTTCACTGCTAGCAATTCTATAGAACGAGGCCACCCCAGGCCTATCTGAGAGTCCAGACTGGAAGGACAGAATGTGCTGTGAAGGTTGCTCCTGCCTGCAGAGTTGTCTCCATGTGATGGGGCAGAAGTGCTAACTCGGGTTTGAGGGCAGTATGGAGCTGAGTCAGCAATAGCCCTGGCCCTGGTCATCCTTCCTCTCTGTCCCCTCTTTGTAGCTGGAAGGCCAGTGCACAGCTCTCCACAATGACAAACATGAAACCAAGGCTGAGAACACCAAGCTGAGACTCACTAACCAGGAGCTGGCCCGTGAGTTGGAGCGCACCTCGCGAGAACTCCAGGAGGCGCAGCAGCAGCTGGAGAGCCTGCAGAGAGAGGCCTGTGAGCTGCAGCAGGAGAAAGAGATGTGAGGCCAACCCTCTCCCCGTACCTCCCCCCCCCCCCCGCACTGCCGGCTGCTCCGTTCTGGGCTGGGGACCAGTATCCTTTCCAAAAACCCATTCCCTGGCCTGTGTGCGAGGTGGAGACTTAGGATCCTTATTCCTTGAGGTTCCATCCTCTCCCTCCTCTTCCCTCCTTCCTTTCTTCAACAGAGTCTCACTATGATGTATAGATTGGCTTTGACTTTATCATTCTCCTGCCTCAGCTTCTTGAGTATGTTCCTAGGTATGTCAAGGTGACAGCCAGGGTTTGTCTTCAAGGCCCTGGTCTCCAGAAATGTGTTATCAGATAGAAAGACCAGCTACCCACACATAAGGAGACAGCCTGAACAAAGACTGAAAGAGCAGAGGGCCCTTGATGCCCATGGCAGGCTAGAGACCAGGAACCTCAGGTGAATGGGAATGGGGAGGCTTCTGAGGTCAGCTGACAATGTGAGCGGTATGTGAATCATGGCTGGAACTGTGACTCAATCCCCAGCCACTTTTTTTCTTGCAGTGTTTCTCTGGGAAAACTGTCTGAGCCCACAAGGGAACCCCACAGCTCTCAAAGTTTGGCTTCCTATTCACTGTCCTTAGCACCCCGCCATTGTGCAGCTAGACAGAGGCAGAGCCATGCCTGAGAGCAAATCGAGGGGCTCTTCGTCTACAGCTGGAGGGGCTGATGCCAAAGCAGCCCTTCGCCTTTGGGGACATTCAATTTTTGAGAGCAAAGGACTGGGAGACCAGGCGAAGGGACTCTCTTATCTATGTGACCACTCCTTTATCTACACACTCATTGATACCCTCCCCTGACAAGTGGCCATGGCAAATTATTCCATGCCAGGTACCTTGGGCCTTCGACATGCCTCACCAAGGTCAGGCATTGGACCTTCTCTCATTCAATCACACCATGTCCTTATAGGGCTGGTGGACTGTCAGGCTGATTGAAGGAGCAAGCAAGGGGAAGCCCCAGATGTTAACTGTGACACGTGCCCTTCTCACACCCCAGAGGATAGTAAGCCTTCCAGACACACCCATTCACAGCTCAGAGCAGCACCCACCTCACTCGCTCACTCTTCACTTCTTCACCCATGGACACATCCATCCTGCCAGGGGTCACTGTGTGCTTGAAAGGCATCAAGGGTTCTGATTTCAGGGCATGGGATGATAGGCTGACCAGCATTAAGGCTCTCCACATCCTAAGTGCCTTTGTTCAGAATGAAAGCCCTCACTTTATCTGAGTGCCGGCAAGATTCTGGGACGTGAAGTACATCCAAAATGCTCCCACGGCTCTGCTTCCGTGTAGAGTCCGAGCCATTTGTGATGGACTGTCTGAATGAGAGGGACAAAATGTGTGTAGTCTGGGAATGCCATCCAAGTATCTTAAATTGTAAGATAAATAAATGACTCCCAAGAAGCCGTCTTAGAATGAAACCCAGTCCCCATATCAGGGCTTTGGATTGCTAGTCAGGGGCACCATGCGGTTCATCAAAGAGACTGAGTCAGTTCTTCCTGTCTGAGAACAGGGTGCCAAGGCATAGGCACCTAATTATGACAGAATTAGGGATTCAGGCACTTCAAATCCAACCAAGCTCTCAAAGCTGTAAACATCTGAAGGCAGAAACATTAAGACAGCGAAGGGAGACAAACAGTTGTGCAGAGGGAGCATCCCAGCCCAGCCCAGGGAGTTGGAAGCCTTCACACACCTCATCTTCATTAATGAAGCTGGAGATTCAATCTCTGAAAAGATGGGGTCAAGGGCATAAGGAGGAACGAGAATCAGGAGAGCATGTTCAGGAGCCAGGAGTATATGGTATGGATGCGGTGGACCCAAGAGACCTTCCCGCCCAGAGAAGCCGGGGAGAGTGCCAGAGCTCAGACCAACACGAGTGACAGCACCATAGAGCTCCCAGTCAGGAAGATCGGAGGCTCAGAGAAGCCACAGTCAGCTAAGATGAAGGCCGGCTCCAAACCTCCTTCTCCCATATCTCCTTGTGCCGTATTGCTTCAGAACGGCTGGGAGGGGAGAAGGAGGAGACAGGGAGTGAGCAGACTTGACCATTTATCAGCAAGCACTGCAAATGGACAAAATTAATTTTCCCATGCTCTGAAAACACTGAAGGTAGGAAAACTAGATTTGGGGATGAGATAGAGAAAAAAAAATCTTCCCAAGCAGTGAGATAACGCAAAAATGAAGGCCAGCCAAAAAACTGTACCTCTGAGCTGATTTTTAATTAACTTTTATCTTGAAGATACAGTTTAAGACAAGATACAAAAGAATGACTCCTCAAGAGAAGCTTGTCTCCTCCCATGACCCCTTTCTCCTGTGGATCCTGGAGTCTGTTATGCATGTGCAAATGCATTCTCATATACATGCACTCAAACACACACTTAAATACATGTACACACATAAATACATGTAGATACATACATATACATAAGCACACATGTACAAACACACATACACTCACACACTCATACACACACACAAATGCTTTCCATTGGAGACTGGCAACCATCCAGACATACAGGTCTGTTTTGCCTTATTCACTTAACAACATATTTTGTAGAATGTGCTAGCTCATCTCTTTTCTAAAAACAAAACCAACATCAGCTCTCTGTGGGAAATTACCAACTTCCCACCAAGGACTGTAACAAAAGGCAGCTGGTCCTCTCTGTCCCAGTCTGCTATCACCCAGGGAGAGGTGACCTCTAGCTCAGAGGGATTAAAAGATTAGTCAATCAAATATCTGAGCATCACTGTTTAATGATGCCCCTTGGTTAGCACACAAAAGCTGTATAGCTGGATATATCTATATGTGTGCATATATGTGTATACCAATCACCATAGATAAGTGTTCACTTGACAGATGAGCATGTATTTGCATAGGCATGCTCTCTCTCTCTCTCTCTCTCTCTCTCTCTCTCTCTCTCTCTCTGTGTGTGTGTGTGTGTGTGTGTGTGTATCTGCTGGCGCTGTACACAGAGTCAAAGAAGACCTAAATAGCATGAGACTTGTTAACCTCTTTCTCAGTCAAACACTGAGGACACAGACCTCAGCTCTGCAGTGAGTTCCTGCCCTCAGCAGGGGTCAACTTCTCTGCTGTCCCTGCTAGGCAGGGGTAGGAACTGGGAAGGTGTGCCTCCAGAGCTGGGCATAGGCCTCTTCAGCAGCTGGGACCCAGACAGGAGTAGGCAGGGATGTATGTGTGTGCTAACCAGAGCAGAATTCCAGACAGGAGCTCTGGGACCCAGTTTGTATAATGGGGAATACACTGCTTTCCCTTAAGTTGAAATTAAATATAATTGGTAATAAAATGGGAGGAATTCACATCTCTGCAGGAGCCGGCAGAGTTTTGTTGCTTAATTAGGATTGTCTGAGGTGAACTTAGAATTTGATTCAGTCTGTTATGGTTGTCAAGTGACTTTGTAATTGTTCTGTAAAGAAGAAGAAAGGAAAGACACAGATGACGCTTAGGGCTAAAGCTATCAGGCACTTGGTGGGAGGGTCCCCAGGCGGATGCTGATGTCAACTGCTCCGTAATGACATTTGAGAGGTGGCAGAGGGGTGACTGTCCTTACAGCCCAGTGAGCACAGTCAGATGGGAAGTGACAAGTTTATCAGGCTGTTGGGTGCTTTCTGCCAGAGAACCACACTGCTGTGGAAACAGGAACCCTGGGGCCATGGTGGTGAGATAGCAGAGACACTTGGATATTGTGTGGAGGTTCAGAGCCCAGGAGCAAAGATGAGGCACAGCTGCCCACTTCTGTCATCTCTCTCCCTCCCTCCCCATCTCCCTTCCTTCCCTCCCTTCCTCACCTCCCTTCTTTCCTCTCTGAAATGCTGCTGTTCGCTTGTATAATAGTAGCTGATCCCCCTTCCTCCCTTCCCCACGGCCTCCGCTCACCTGACCGTGTCTGCCTCCTCCTCAGGGAAGTGTACCGGGTGACCGAGAGTCTGCAGCGGGAGAAGTCAGGCCTCCTGAAGCAGCTGGATTTCCTAAGGTGGGTCTGTCAGGGGCTTCTTCCCTGCCTGTATTCTGGAACAACACTGATATCAAATGGAGTAGTACTTTCTCATCGGGACCACCAGCCCAAAAATAATGACACAGAGACTTTTGTTTTTATTAGTTATAAAAGCTCAGCCTTAGCTTCGGCTTGTTTTGAACTAGTTCTTAGAGATTAAATTAACCCTTATTTTAAAATCTACATTCTTCCACAAGGCCCATTACCTCATCTCTGTACTGCCCCTTCTGCTTCCTCCACGTCTGGCTTCTGACCCCTCTTTCTTCTTCCCAGAGTTCTCTCTCTTTGATCAGAAGTCCCACCTATACGTTCCTGCCTAGCCATTGGTCTTTCAACTTTTTATTGCACCAATCACAGCAATACATTTTCACACAGTGTACAAATATCCCACAACAGCCAAGAGTGCCCACCTTTCCGTCAGTCACCAGCATGTGGGTTGGACTGCTGAGTGCTGCCCACTGGGGGCTATGTCCTTGTCTCCTCGCATGTCCATCTTCCTCTATGGTCCATTCCCCTTTCTGTCAGGCTCTGCCTCATCCTTGGTGTCCTTATGGGACCGTGCATGATCCTTGGCTGAGAAGGAATAAGTCTGGATGTGCAGTTACTCTATGGCAAGTATACAGTCTCACCTCCAACAGAAGCATTGAGTCTGTCCAGACATGGTGGATTCTGGAACCAACCAAGAGCATCTTGGTGTTAGAGAAATGAAATCCATGTCTGGCTGACTCTTCCCTCAGCCCTGGAATGAGTAAATGAATCACACATAGGGCCAAGAAAGGAGTTTCCCCAGCTTCTAAAACCCACCGCAATAAACTCAATGTTTACTGGCCTAGAAAATGTTCACTCCCAAGAAAAGCAAAGCCAGAAGGGGGAAGTTGGGGATTTGTCTAGGTTTTCTATAGGCTGCACCTGCCACCTGCTGATGGCCTCCTGGGGAAAGTGATGACAGAGGGTTTTGGGTCCCGTTTTTAAAGAACAAGTGACTCGGCCTCACTTCCAGGTAGGCATGAGATGCCTTGTGTCCGCTTTCGTGACAGCAAGGTGAGGCCAGGGTCTGCTGTCTTCAGTGGTGAGGGATTCAAAAAGTCACCTGTGTTTGAGATGCGCTCTGCTTAGAATGAGATGAGCCAGCGCCCCCCTCTATCCCTCCCCCATGGACATGTTCTATCCCACTAGAGACAAGGTCTTTGTTCTCAGGAGGCTTTAGGAAGACAGCAAGATGCATAAGTACACTGTTTGGCTCGTTTGTTGTTGTTTTTTTTAAACTTGTTTCTTTTATTCTATTGTACTTAGAAAAAACTAATGGAGGGATAGACCATAAACCAAAGAGAATGAATAGGAAGAAATGGGGCGTGGCACTCTACAGATGTCCAGGAGTCTTTCTTTTGGAGATCAGCATTTATGAGGCTTAGACACACATGTCTGAAGCCTTTCTGTGCTTTCACAATTAAGCAGAGATGAAGGAGGGGACATGACAGATTTATCCATCCATGAAATCACCAAGAATTCAGGAGAGAGACTGTGGGAGGGTGGAGGAGGAATAAAATGGGGGCGGGGGCAGTGGGACATGGGTTGATAGTGAGACAAGGACCATGGCTAGAGTGTGAGACATGACCTCCTTAACCTCTGCTCCTGCTCCTGTTCCTGCACAGAATGTAGAAACAAAACAGTATTGCGTACTTTGCCAGGGAGGGTTGAGCTCGAAGGCCTTCTAAACCCTCATTCAGGTCGCCAGCTCACCGCTTAGCCAGCATGAGCCTTCTTCAGGAAGGAGCAGCTCACTTTGCCATTGTCCAGGCTTACCTTCCATACCCCTTCCCAGACTCGTTCCAAAGGCCTGGCTGTCACTGAAAACAATCGGACACACTGCCAGTGTTTCCTTTAAGAAGGATGGCATTGCAGGCCCCTTATCTCGGTTGCCATTCTTTGGGACAGCCTGAAATCTGATCCTGCAGGGCACAGCGCACTTAGCAACGTGCTTGGCTCACAGTCACAGCCAGCAGATCTCTGCATTGTGGTCATTAGTGCTTGACTGCTCCTGAGCCTGCTCTTCCCCTTCAGAAGTAAGGACTGGTTCATGGCCACCCGCACAAGTAGACGTAGACTCACAGGTCTGGTATGAGAGAGGGGCCCCTCCCTCTTGCATCAACGGAAGAGCCTTGCAGGTATTTGTGTCTAGTTCACCTCACAAACAGCCCACATCCTGAGTGTGTTCACTCACCCGCTCTGAACTTCCACTAAACCTTCAGGAACTCTTCACTTTCTATCCTCCCACTTGGTCTCCTGCTCCAGAAATAGCCTGGATGTGTTCACTGGGCTTGCTCCCCGTTGCCAGCACCCATGTCTCAGACTCTGTGGATGTGCTGTGGGCTCCCAGTGCTCCTAGCAAAGACTGTCCCCACGTCATCCTTGTTCCCAACTAGAGTTCTCAAATGGATCCATCCTCTCCTGGTCTGCTGGCTTTCACACTGACTGCCCATCTTTCAGTTCTCAGTGATCCAGTCTGGCTCTCTCCCCAACAGTTCCGCCCAAACTGTCCTTGCCCATGTCACCAATGACTTCCACTTTTTCAAAAATATCAGTCCATTCTCAGGGCTGCACCTTTGTCTCTGACAGTCTGTTCTTAGCAGAACTTCCGAGGGGAGCGATCATCTCAGTGTTGGAATCAAACCATGACCTCCCCTGTCAGACATCCCACCCAACCCCACCCAAAATCCATGACTTCCTGCCTTGTTTGGAGTGACTACCAAAGCCTTTACTGTGTCCCTGGAGGCTGGAATTAGTCCTCTCGATCCACCCACTGTTCTCCAACCTCATCTCTTTGGGATCCCTGTGTCCCTCCTTCCCATTCCTCCCATACATAAATTTATCACAATCAAGCCTTTGTCCTGCTCAACCCTCTGCTCAAATACTCTTTCCCCAGATACCTGCCCAACTCTCCTCCCCTCCCTAGGGTTTGTCAGATGCTGCCTCACCAGCCAGGGCTTCCCTGACCATTTGGGTTGAAATGCTTCATGGTTCTCCTTTTCCCACATCCCGCTTTAGTTTCCCAGTAGCACTCACTCCCAACCTCATACAAGCTTCCTGAGTCCAGAACTTGGTGGCTGTTCACTCCTGCATCCCTGATGCTGAACAAAGTGGTAAGCAACTCATTCCACTCATGTTCACAAATGGATGAACTGGGCAAAGAAGGAGCCCACTGGAAGGGGGACACGCCATCCTGCCCCCAAGTGATGGAAACTGAGTGTTCCTCAAGGGCGGTGTGTATCACAAGGCCACTCGGTCTTATCCCCTGCCTCTGAGCTGATTTGCACATGAACCCCCCTCTATCCATGGCCACATCCCCATATTGGGCTTTCTTCTGCACCCATCTGGCTGGCTAATGGGATGCCACTGTCAACTGCAGACTCCATGTTGAATAATTTTCCCTTACCATTCACAGGGAAAGGAACAAGCATCTCCGGGATGAAAGGGACATAAGTTTTCAGGTAATTGGTTCACCCACACTGTCTTGGGGATGGTGCAGAGTTAAACAAGGCCCAGGGACAACCTGACCCATCATGCCATAACTGATCAAGACTGCCCTGATCCTTACGGCCTGTTGGGTCCTTTCTATGTGGGCAGGATGAAAGTGTAAGATATTATGCAAGCAATAAAAAGGTAACCACACACGGATTTTCCATGAATGGAAATGCCTTCCTCTTGGCACAAGCAGACTCAAATGTTTGGAAGAGCCACGCGCATCTTGGACGCAAAAAGTGACGGTTCCATCCATGAGATGGCACAGTTGAAATGTCATTATCACCTGAAGTAAAAGGCTCAGTTTGTTCTTTCATTTAAATTTTTATCTCCTGATGAAAATCTCAGACTTCACACTGTCGGAGAGCAAATTTACAGTGCACACGTAGCTGTTTACACAGTTGATCTCACGTACACTTCCTTCTCCTCTCCGTGCCTGCGCACAATGCTCCTTCCCCTCCCGAATGGTGTGACATCCACAGGGCTCCACCGGGCACGCTGAAGAGACCTTAGAATACTGCACCTCCTTCTCCACCTCCCTTTTAGGACAGGAGACACTGGCTTCCCTGAAGGGGCAGGGCGGCTCGATAGGACTACCTCATTGTGAGATTCTCAGGCCGTGAACTTGCGTGTCCTTGGAGAAGGAATTGGTTACCTTTGCCCGTGATCCCAACTGTCACTGAAGGAAGGGGAGTTCCTGTCCTCATTCTCTCAGGTTGTAAGGACATTTGAGGAAATAGGCAGTCTCAGCGAGAGGGTGGTGTGTGCTGAGGCCTTGGCTGAGCCCTTAAGGTCAGCCTTTGAGGGCTGGCGTGCCTTGCCTCAGGCCCCGCCTGGTTTACTCTGCTGCTGCTGCTGCTGCTGCTGCTGCTGCTGCTCCTGTCGAGGGTCCTTGTCATTCCACTTCCTCTTTGACATCACAGCCAGCGGCAACCATCCCAGCTGCCCACCCGAGTGTACTGTCAGAGCAAGACATAAGCCTACACTTGTTGGTCTGATAATGATAATGATTATAATTGCTTTGGAAGAAATACTACTTTTTTAAAACTCCCAACCCTTCATCTCATTTCCCTTCACCTGCCCAACTCATTTTGTTTTGAAAGAGATGGGGTGGAGGGAAGAGCACCAGGAATCAGAGAAAAGAGGGAGAGCCCAATTGATGCAGAATAGTCATTAAAGATTTGCCTGGAATCATTAAAGCCATGCCCTCAGGGGTGCTGGGGGCTCAGCAGTTCCTCCTCTCATTATGAGTCCACAGAAGGAAGCCTGGGACGGCTGATTAGGATAGAATTTGCCCTGTGATCTGACTCCGCGTGTCTCCTGGAGGAAGTCTGCCCCAGGTTCTGAGCCCTGCTCCTCTAAGGTTCTGTGTTACAGATATCTGGGCGGTCCATCCACATCCAGCCTGCTTCCACAAATGACTGCAGAGGTCTTGGGCTAGTGAGGTTGTGGTGGGCAGAGCCCTGAGCTAGCTGCTCCTTTGGGTGGTTCCCTATCTCAATACCTCATGGGCTTTGGTGGGAAAGGGAGATTAGAGCCACAGGGAAGAATGCAGCTTAAAATACCAGGAACTTTTGGACTGTACATATTTTCTTATGTAGTAAGTATCTTTGTCTTCTTCTTTGATCTCTTGCAAATTACCAGTGTCCCTGTGAAAATAACCCCGGAGGCCCCAGGCGCTCCACTCTGTATTCCCTCCTCTAAGTGGATTTCTGGAAAGGAGATGGGGGGATCCTAGTTGCGGTGTGTGGGGGAAATACAGGGCAGTGGGTGACTGAACTGGATGGGAGGGAGTGGTGGGCAGGAAGCCTACCCTGCTTCTCCCATTTAGAGTCCTGTCTAGAGCCTTCCCTCTTTTCTGCTCAAGCATCAAGATGATTCCACAGGCATGGATCTCAGGGCATTTTGTGTTTCTGCAGAAAGATAAGGCGGCCAAGGCAAACACAGCTGCTTCCAAGGCAAGCAGGAAGCAGAGATCTGGCTCTGTGATCGGCAAATATGTGGACGGCAGGGAAATTCTCGGGAGGTAAGTCATCACCCACCATTCCTCCTTCCTCCGTTCAGTCATTTCACACTTTTGGGAGCTGCCTCTGGCCCCACATCGCCTGGTCTTTGAGGTGTGGCCCTACTAGGGAGGCCTTGAATCCTGGAGGACATGGTCCTCTCTGTTGTGACGTCTGAACTGGAGGGAGACTGTTCAGAGCAAACCTGGAGGATGGACGCCATCTCTGAGGCTATCCTGCCCTGCTGTGAGCCTGCAGATAGCCGCTGATGGGGACTGCAGACCAACTGAGAAGGAGGGGAAGGAAGAAGAGGAAAGGGAGGAGGAAGAGAAGATGATCAAGGGGGGAATGACTGTGCGCCATTTCCTGGATCCACTTGGTTTCTCTGGAATATAATTATACTGACTGTGAGCTGAATTAAAATGTCATATAGAATCACCATTAGCTGAACCCCTTTAGAGACAAAATTAAGGCTTGTGATTGACAGATCATTCCAATGATTCATGTTTAACTAACTCAAAGACAACATGTTATGTAGCTGTTGGAGGGCACATGAATTGCGAAAAGGGTCAGCCTGCTGCTCACTCATACAGACAAGCCAGTCCCCTCCTCCTCTTTAGAGCAGGTACTCCATTCACACGGATGGACACAGAGAGAGGTCAGGGCAACTTTTCCCTCCAGTATCAGGTTGAGGGAGAAGATGTGTAAAATCACTTACAGAGACATGCAAGCATGAACTAAAAAGATACATAAAGTAAAAGTGACTTTGGGATGGAGATGGGTTGATTGGGGAAACCCCTGGGTCAGATCATCATGAATTATCTCGCAATAGCTCAATAATGAGGTACAATCTGGAGGCCAAATTTCTACTCTTGTGTTTGCCAGCCTGCTGGTTTCTCAGAACTGAATGGATTTCTAAATTTGACAGTCATTTGTAGATTACCTACTTTGCGTCTGACATTCTTTCAGGCCTTGCGACTTTCCCACTATGTCTGTCCACTAGCAAATGCTCATTTAATAGAGAGGTGTTGAGTGGCCACTATTTGTGAGGTCCAGTGACAGTCACTGGAGCAGAGGTTTGCAAAATAGACCCTTCCCTCTTTCAGGAGCTCACAGCCAAGCGGCAGAAGCAGAGAATAATCCGCTAAACATCAAAGTGTGTGCTCTGAATTCCAATATCGATTTTGGCAAAAGCAGTTACTCTCTCTACTGCTGGCAGGAAGTGTTTGGTGGCAAAACAAAAAGGAGCTTAGACATGCTAAGCTGAAGCCATTACGGAATGTCAACAGCACTTGAGATGTTCCCAAATAAAACATTTTTTTCCAAGAAGAGCTTCATTTTAGAGCACACTTAAATGGTTGTTTCTTTTTCTGGTAGAAAACTTTCAGGAAAATGTGTGTGTGTGTGTGTGTGTGTTTACATGTGTATGTGCATGTTCATGTTGCATATACAAGCAGCTAAAATGGACAGGGATACTGTGCTGAGAATGAGATAATCAGATCATGGTCTCAATGGTGTACAGATACAGAGGAAGGTGTGCTGGAGAGGAGCCACTTGGCTTTTATTTAACCTGTGCTCAAATTTCTGTAAATCTTTTACTCTCTATCCAAACCAATTCACTGCCGTTGAAAGTAAAGACTGTCTTAATTTGTCCTTCAGGATCATAGCTAGCTTCAGAAAGTGATGGGTTCACATTGGTTTTCTTTTCCCTTCCTATTATTGACCTTAGAAAGAGCAAACACCAGAAGCCAGGGACAAGGTCAATGACTCTTCTCTTTGTATGGGACTGTTTCTGTGTCCCTTAATTCAGTTCCTTTCTCCATTTCTCCTTTGACCTTGTCACCTTGCTGGTTCATTTGCAATCCTTTTCACACATTCATATGCGTGTGTGCGTGCATGTGTGTGTGTGTGTCTGTGTGTGTGTCTGCCTGTGTATGTGTTCATAGATCATGCCTGTTTCCTTTGAAATACTCTCGCCTTGCACTGTTCACTAAGACAGAGAAGGATCTCAGTGTTCTGGATACCTGTGCAGATTTTGCTCCCCAAACCCTTAGAAAACACAGTCTGTGCCCTATGCCCCAACTTCATAGGGTTCCTTCCTCCTCCTATTGTCCTCTTTGCTCGTAGCACCCAAATGCTTCCAGAAGCAAGTATATACTAAAGTAAAGGCCACCTGCTCCTCCCTCTATTTTAGGAAGTCATAAAGGAAGAGGGGGATGCATGACCCAAGCCCATTTGTAATGATCTGTCTCTGAGTCAGGGGACATCTGTTACGGATAGGAGGAGGTCCTCCACAGTGACAGTACTCGTACACCACCGAGGGATGCTCTGTGCACAGGTGCTCTATGAGGGTGCCCTACATGGGTGCGTCCTGTATGAGTGTGCACTGTGTGGGTGCATCCTGTATGAGAGTGCCCTGCGTGGGTGCGTCCTGTATGAGTGTGTGTTGTGTGGGTGTGCCCTGAATGATAGTGCCCTGCGTGGTGCATCCTGTATGAGTGTGTGCTGTGTGGGTGTGTCCTGTGTAAGAGTGCCCTGTGTATGAGTGCCCTGTGTGGGTGTGTCCTGTGTGGGTGTGCCCTGTGTGGGTGTGCCCTGTGCAGGTGTGTGCTACTTGGCTATCCTTTTCATGCTTTCTCTTACATATGAACAGTCTAGGTGAATGGACCCCATTTTATGGTGAGGGAACAGAGGCATGAGGAGTCAATGTCCTTCCATAAGGACATGTAGTTGAAGAGGACATGTGGTGGGGACAGAGCCCGGCCACATTATTATTCTCCTAGGGTACCTGTCTCCAACCCTGTGCATCCCTTTCTTCATTCCTTTCTCCTTCATTGAACAAACCAGGCCATAAGAATATGTGTTGTTTGCTTCATCAATCCTCTCTTAGTCCAGTACCACGCGAGGACAGGGCCTTTAGTTTTAATTGATACTTGGTAAAGATCTTCACCAGCATCTTCATCACTAGCAGTGGTGACGGTGGCATCAGCAGTTGGCAGCCCTTATGAGGCTGTCAGAACCATGAGCTGAGTGATGGGTCTGTTGTCTCCTCTCCTTCCCCAGAGCTCTTTTCAGTGCTGCCAGCAGGCAAGTATCTCTCCACTTCCATATTGATATTTTTATCATTTCTTCCTATGCATCTTCTTCCTGTCCCCGTTCTGATAGCCAGTCAGTGGAGGAGGATGAGGCCTTCGGCATCCTGAGGAGGAGAAGCTCTCTGGGCCTGAATGCCTATCTCGCTGCAGAGGAGGAGTCTGGAACTGGGGAGCCAGGGACTGGGGTTCCACGACGTCATGCACTCCGCAGAATCATCTCCATTGAGGAAGACCCCCTGCCTCAGCTCCTGGAAGGTGGCTTTGAGAAGCCACTGAGCAAATGCCCAGAAGAAGAGGAGGTCTTTGACCAGGGGGCAGAAGGGCAAAGCGTGACAGCCCCCGCCTTGGAACTCATCCCTATGTCTCCCCGAGGGCAGCCTGTCGGAAAAGAAGCCCTCTACAAGGTGAGTTCCAGGCAACGCTACTGAGATCTGCCCCCTTACCTTTGAGCCCAGGAGCCCCAAAGGACATGTAGGGGCTGCAGTGGGTTTTGGGATTCACTATATTCTGTGTCCCAAAGGTCTTCTTCTCTTGCTTACACCTTTTCAGCTGAGCATCAGAGAGACTCATTGGTTTCCATAACTTCCCTTGTTAACTTCTGTTCCCCCATGTTTCACACGGTCTTTTAACTCAGATCTGAAGCATTTATCGAACATGCCCGCTGGAGTCAGTGTCTGCTAAGACCCATTACAAGTGGTCATTTGGTACAGTTCTGTCGAGTGTACCGCCATCCTCTTTCTGTTGATCTCGGCCGGCTGAGTCTCTTCCATTCCCCAGTGGCCCGTGGACTCCTCCCTCCAGGATGTTTCTGCCCTCCCCCCTCTCCTCACTCAGGTTTCCCTCTGAATTCTGTGAGGAGAACAGTTCAAAGGTCATGGCACTTGCTTTCTCTTACTAAATGATCTCCAAAAGGGTGATCCCTCTTTGTCTTGTGGGACCTATGACCCTCTGCTGGTTTGTAATGTACACTGAAGTAGGCCATGCAGCCCTTGGCCTTCACCCTGATCCTTCAAAACATCTCTAGAAATTTCTTGGCGGTATGCAAGGGGCACCTCCCTTGGGCAGCCCACAGCCAATGGGTTCCTCTCTCTTTCCCTGCACTCCCTTCTAAATAAATCCCTTTCATAAGGGGACCTACACTCACTTTAAGTGGGCACAGATAGATCAATATCAAAGTCATCCAAGATGTCACTAGTATCACGATATGTGACCAAGAGGTCTGGAAGAGACAGACCTAGAGGAGAAGGCTATGCTCCCATGTGCTGAGGCCTGTCTTTGCCGTGGTCTGATGGATGGGCTTGACAAGTGTTCTTCCCCACCTCCGCCAGAAGGAAAGGTAGGAACCCAGAGGGGAGAAGATGGGGCAGCCTGCCTCTCTGCTGAGCTCTTAGCCTTTGGAGCTGTGTGTTCTGTAACTGTCCGCCTCTCACAGAGCACCCCTAATGCCCCCAAGGTGCCTCACAAGGTCGTGCCGCCATTTTGCTGCAACAACAGAGAGAATGAAGAGGGTCAGTTGTGTGGAAGGCTGCCCCGAGGCAGACCTCCATGAGGCATAGTTGATGCCACCCTTCTGGAGAGAACCTGGTAATAGGAATCAAGGGCCATGACCTTTCAACCGATACTTCCACTAGTGAAAAGTCAAGGCTGTAAGTGCCACTTAGAATAGAAGAACATAAAAAAATAAGGCTACTAAAGGGACATAAATTATATTGCAATAATTTAGTAGAATGTTACATACCTACTAAAAGAAATCACAATTCCTAAAAGGTCTTTAGTGATTCGGAGGGATTTGTATTGTTATTGAATAATTGTGAATACTAGGATGAAATAATATAGATTTGTTCCTCAATTCTGTTTAAATAAAACATTTTCTCATATCTCTAAAGGCTGAAAATGCATATAATGTGAATACTGGCTATCTCAGATCATAAAAAATGTTTACTTTTCTTCCTATAACTATATATTTCCCAAACTTAATAATTAACATATATCACTTTAAATTTTTAAATATCTATTTTATTTGCAAATGTGTGTAGGCACATGTATGCCACAGCTCACGTGCAGATGTCAAAGGACAATTTGTGGGAGTCACTTCTCCTCTTCCACAATGTGAGTCCCAGGGATAGAACTCAGGTTGTCAGCCCTGGTGGCAAGCGCCTTTACCGCTGAGCCGTCCTGTCAGCCCAGAATATATCATTTTTGCTTGGAGGTTTTCATTTTCTGATTTGGGTTCTGGGTGTGATTGTTGCTTGTTTGTCTGTTGGGGCCCTGTAATGGGGGACAAACCCTTTATGTCTTAGATACACCCTAACCCTTGTTTTTTAAGCATGTAGGAGGGAAAGAAAAATGACAACACATGTCCTGATGTGATAATCAGGCTTCCTGTACCTTGCCTGTCCCTCCAACCCATCTGTCTGTCACCTGACAGATGAACTGTCCCCAAGAAAAGAGAGAGGGTTGAAGGACCTCCCTGCTCTTGTGAGTTAAGCTGCAATATTTGGACCATTCATGGTCATGTAGGTGAGTTCTTCCCAGGGAAGGGCAGGGTAGCCGTGGGGCTGAAGGCCAGGCAACCCTGCAATCACAACCACAGCCACCTCTCTACCACCCCCTCCTTGGATGCCACCTTCCCACCCCTTGCCTGTTTCTACTCTGCCACATTTTGTCTGAACAAATGACAGTTGGAGACACCTGTACAAAAGACAGGCAGTCGCCGGTGCCCTGTGTCTTCAATGGATAAAGAAAATCAGGCGGGGGTGGGGGGGCGTTGTTTTAATTTTATCTTACATTCTTGTAGTTGACTTGAAATTCTCCCCTGAAGTCTGCTGCACTTTGTTCCGAAATTCAAGTGCTGCTCACATCAGCTGTGCTGTTATAGTATTTGCTCACCAGATAAGCTAATTCCCTCAAATCCACTTTTAAATCCACCCAAAAGAGCCTCCCCCTCTGACCAGCAGTGCTGAGCCAAGCTTGAAGGTGAGGCACGTGGTGAGATAGTATTCTGGAAGGAATGGCTGCCTGTGGAAGGTGTCCCTAGCCACCTCCTGCTCACTGTCTGTCCCAGAGAAAGTTCAGCCGTCCTGGGTCACAGTCCAAGGCGGATGGCAGTTCAGTCCTGCTCTGTTCTCTGGGGCTCGATGAACAGACCAATGTGTGGTTGCCTGTGGAGACTCCCCACTTCCTGAGTGGAAGGGTGTCCTAGCCTGGCTTCTGTTGCCATGATAAAAACACTGACCAAAACCAACTGAAAGGGAAGAAAGGGCTTATTTTATCTTATCACTTCTGGGTCACGTCTGTCACTGAAGGACATCATAACAGGAGCTCAAGGCAGGAACTAAAGCAAATACTATGGAGGAATTGCCACTTTTTGGCTTTCTCTCTGTGGCTTACTTAGTTTGCTTTTGTATACAACCTAGGACCACCTTTTAAGGGGTGGTCCTATCCCCAGTGAACTGGGCCCTCCCATATCAGTCATCAATCAAGCACATGCCCCTCAGCCTTGCTTACACACCAGTCTGATGGAGGCAGTTCTTCAATGGTTCCTTTCTCAGATGATTCTAGATAAGAACTAGCTAGCACAAGGGTGGAAAATCACCACCTGGCTGTCAGTAGCCAATGACTACATGATAATTGAAGTTGAAGAGATGATGCAAGGGCCGTGTACAGAGACTCAAGGGGATCTCCATTCCACTCAGAGACTATGCGGTGACTTCTCTTGGGGACACATGAACATTAACAAGTAACTACTGTAGACAGGGTACCTATGTCAGAGTAAATAAAGGATTCCAGTCAGTGAGAGAACTTGTGGGCTACTTGGAGTTACTTGCCAGAGCATGGGTGAAAAACTCAAAGGCAGCTTTACCACCAACTAGCCCACCCCAGCAAGGGTGGTGACTACCGAAAGCTGTATCACTGGAAACCCCTACACAACTTGCAGGCAATTGCTCCAGAGAGTCCCCTCCCCAAGACCAGTTGTCTCTGTTTATGTAACCTTAAGGAGTCTGTGAATCTTGGAGCTTTCAGAGCTTTTGAAGCCTCCTCAGTTTCTTGAGTCTTAGGAAGCTCCCTCCTCCCTCCTGGAGGGATGCTTCAAGTTAAAGGAAGAAGCTAAACAATGGTACCCAGCCCTGTGGAGGTTTTCCTCTTTCTGTCCTCTACTTTCTAAAGACTATCTTGTACTTCTCTGCTGCTGTGATAAAGACCATGACCAAAAGTAACTTGGGGAGGAAAGGGTTTATCTCAGCTCATAGTCATGAAGAGGAGTCGGGACAGGAACCAGAAAGCAGGAACTGAAGCAGAGGCCATTGAAGAATGCTGCTTACTGTCTTGCTCCTCATCACTTGCTCAGCCTTGTAGCACCCAAGACCACCTGTTCAGGGAGGGGGCACCATTCACAATGAACTGAGCCTTGCCACTAGATGCTGAAAAAGCCCTCAACAAAATACATCATCCCTTCATGATAAAGGTCTTGGAGAGAGCAGAGGTACAAGAAACATACCTAAACACAATAAAGGCAATATACAGCAAGCCAACAGCCAACATCATACTAAATGGAGAGAAACTCAAAGTGATCCAACTGAAATCAGGAACAAGTCAAGGCTGTCCAGTCTCTCCATATCTATTCAATATAGTTCTTGAGGTCCTGGCTAGAGCAAGAACAAAAGGAGATCCAGGGCATACAAATCAGAAAAGAAGAAGTCAAACTCTCAGTATTTGCTGATGACATGATAGTTTACATACGCAACCCCAAAAATTCTACTAAGGAAGTTCTACAACTCATAAACACCTTCAGTAATGTAGCAGGATACAAGATTAACTCAAAAAGATCAGTAGCCTTCCTGTACACAGATGATAAATGGGCTGGGAAAGAAATCAGAGAAAAATCACCCTTCACAATAACCACAAAAAGCATAAAATATCTTGGAGTAACTCTAATCAAATGAGTGGAAGACCTGTATGACAAGAACTTTAAATCTCTGAAGAAAGAAATTGAAGAAGACACCAGAAAATTGAAATATCTCCCATGGTAGAATTAACATAGTAAAAATGGCAATCTTACCAAAAGCAATCTACAGATTCAATGCAATGCCCATCAAAATCCCAGCAAAATTCTTCACAGACCTCAAAATAACAGTACTCAACTTCATATGGAAAAGCAAAAAACCCAGAATAGCCAAAACAATCCTGTCCAATAAAGGAACTTCTGGAGGCATTACAATGCCTGACTTCAAACTCTACTACAGAGCTACAATACTTAAAACAGCCTGGTAATGCCATAAAAACAGACAGGAAGACCAACGGAACCAAATAGAAGACCCAGATACTCGTCAATACACTTACGAACACCTGATTTTTGACAAAGAAGCAAAAAATATAAAATGCAAAAAAGAAATCATATTTAACAAATGGTGCTGGAATAACTGGATATCAACATGTAGAAGAATGCAAATAGATCATATCTCTCACCATGCACAAAACTCAAGTCCAACTGAATCAAAGACCTCAACATAAAACCAACCACACTGAACCTCATAGAAGAGAAAGTGGGAAGGAGCCTTGAATGCAATGGCACAGGAGACAACTTCCTAAATATAACCCCAGTAGGACAGACACTGAGAGAAATGATTAATAAATGGGACCTCCTGAAACTAAGAAGCTTCTGTAAAGCAAAGGACACAGTCAACAAGGAAACATGGCAGCCTCCAGAATGGGAAAAGATCTTCACCAACCCCACATCAGACAGAGGGCTGATCTCCAAAATATGCAAAGAACTCAAGAAATTGGTCATCCAAAAAAAAAACCAACAAATAATCCAATAAAAACAATGGAGTATAGACCTAAACAGAGAACTCTCAACAGAGGAATCTAAAATGGCTGAAAGACACTTAAGAAAATGCTCAACATCCTTAGCCATCAGAGAAATACAAATCAAAACAACTCTGAGATTCCATCTTACACCTGTGTGAATGGCCAAGATCAAAATCACTGATGACAACTTATGCTGGAAAGGATGTTGGACAAAGGGAACATTCCTCCATTGTTGGTAGGAATGTGAACTGGTACAGCCTCTTTGAGTATCAGTATGGCCATTTCTCAGAAAATTAAAAAATAACCTCCCTCAAGACCCAGCAATACCACTTTTGGGTATATATTCAAAGGATGCTCAATCATACCACAAGGACATGTGCTCAACTATGTTCATAGCAGCATTATTTGCCATAACCAGAACCTGGAAACAACCTAAATGCCCCCATCCGAAGAATGGATAAGGAAAATGTGGTACATTTACACAATGGAGTTCTACACAGCAGAAAATAATACCGATATCTTGAAATTTGGGGATAAATGGATGGATCTAGAAAACATGAGTGAGGTAACCCAGACCCAGAAAGACAAATATCATATGCACTCATTGTAAGTGGCTTTTAGACATAAATCAAAGAAAATCAGCTTACAATTCACAATCCCAGAGAATATAGGCAACAGTAAGACCCTAAGAGAGACATACATGGATAATCTACATGGGAAGTAGACAAAAAGACAAAATCTCCTGAGTAAATTGGGAGCATGGGGATCATGGGAGAGGGTAGAAGGAGAGGGGAGAGGAAGGAAGAGAGGGAAGAAAAATATATAGCTCAATAAAAGCAATAAAAAATTTAAATAAAAAAGAAAATGCCCTACAGATTTCCCCACTGGCCAATCTTATGGAGGCATTTTCTCAGTTGAAGTTCTCTCTTCCCGGATGACTGTATCTTATATCAAGTAGACAAAAATAAGCAAACAACCCCAGCACATTTGCCTTCTTCCGCCCCTGTAGAGAATTCTGCCTTCTCCCCAAGCCCAAGCCTTCTGGCCCTTGGTCCCTTCTAATTCACACCCCAGAGCTCTGGGCACACCACTCTCAGTAACTGTTCACATTCCTGGCTTTTCCACTCCATCAGCCAGGGTCTGCCTGCTTGTCCCAGAGTTCCATTGACTTGACCGCGTGGGAAAGGCTGTTATTTTTCCGAACAATCTCTTGCTCGTGCTGGAAGGAGCTCCATGCTCCAAGGCCAGTACTAGCTGCATTCTGGGGCAGAAGTGGCCTCCCTGGTGCTGGGGTCTCCGTGGACCACTGCAGTGACAATAAAAGGCAGCCTAGCAGCAGGGGCTAGTGGCAGTGCCCAATGAACTGTCTTCTGTCCACAGGAGGAAAACACTCCCTCTACCCCAGACCGGCTCTTCAAGATCGTGTTTGTGGGAGACTCGGCTGTGGGGAAGACATCCTTCCTGAGGAGGATCTGTGAGGCCCGCTTCTCCCCAGGCATGGCGGCCACCGTGGGTGAGTTCTCTCCTCAAGAAGGGGATAAAGGATAATGGGAGGGATAATGGGAGGAATGGTGGCACTGTTTTTTCAGTAGTGGGCTAGGAGGAGCAAGGAGAAGCCCATCTCAGGCTGACATTGCTGGACTGTTGTGCTTATGGTGTGTGGGTGCGGTGGGGTGGGGTGAATGCTTCATAATCCCAACTTTGTGTTAAGGGAGTTGTGATTGACAGTATATGTTTCTCTCTCTCTCTCTCTCTCTCTCTCTCTCTCTCTCTCTCTCTCTCTCTCTCTGTGTGTGTGTGTGTGTGTGTGTGTGTGTGTGAGAGAGAGAGAGAGAGAGAGAGAGAGAATACAAGTATGAAGTTCAGAAGACAGTCTATGGGAGTTGGTTCTCTCCTTTTACTGCTTGGATTCTGAGGATCAAACTCAGGTCATCAGGTTTGACAACAAGTACCTTTAGCCACTGAGCCGTCTCACTAGCTCTCTGCCCCCATTTCAATCAATGGGGCCCCAAACCTTCAGACTTCCCCAGCTCTGAAGGGAACTCCCACAGAGTTATGGGCCTACTCCTGCCTGATTCGCCCTTAGGTCTGTGGACACATGTCCACCTAGCACCCTGCAAGGCTTCTTTTCCACATTGACTTGACTTGTCCCATATCCCGGATTTGCTGGGAGTCATGGGAAATTAACTGTAGGAGTGTATTAGGCTCAGCCACCGTTAGATAATCATGGCTGAATGTGTTCCCACTTATGGATAATCCTTTATTCAAAGAGAGGCTTTTGTTTCACCCAAAGCTGCACATGGCGTTGGAGTATGTGGCGGGATCAAGGGCAGGTTAACCTTTTAGCTTCCACCACGTTGAGTCACTCGACAAAAGAAGAGTGTGTGAATGCTCACGGTGCCTCTATAACTGAACTGATGAGCCAGCTGAACTTGACAATGTAGTCAGTGCAGTCTTACAATCTGAATACTGGCCATGACCATATAGCCACCGTTTCAACCTGTGATCTTTGTGATCAGCCTCATTGACTGAGAAACAGGTCCAGAGAGATTAGGAGCCCTATCCACATTCCCACAATTAGTGCTGACCCTCCCCTGCCTCACACACCGGGCATCATCTAGCCCTTTTCATAGTACCCTAACAATGTTGCCTTGCATGCCCAAAGCACCCTGTGAGTGGGAGGCTCCTTTTTCTGCCTTTAGAGGTGGCAGAAGTTAGGAGCAGGAAAGGCTGGAGTTTCAGTGGACCATTGAAAATCCTACGTCCAGTCCTGCTACTGACTTGACTGGCTCTGTGACCCCAAGAGGACACAGTCCACCTTTGTGTTTTGATTTTCCTTATGTGAAAAAGAAAGGATTGGGTGTGGGTACCCTGCCTGCTTTCAAGCCCAGGTCTCTGGCCATACCACCCTTTCCAATGGCTTCTGACAAACTCTCTCTACAGGCTAAACTTTCCAAGACCCAGGACCCTTCCTGGGGGAGATGCAGCCACATGCTTCCGTGCCCTCTGCTTCCTGGCAGGCCTTTTCTTATGCTGTTGCATCTTGTCCCTCCCTGCTGCATTACTCCACATAAAGAGGACATCCCAATACAAAATATCAGACATGAAAGGAAGCAAGACAAGCACTGGATGAAAACCCAGGACAGTCTGACCTAGCTATTCTAGGAGGGGAAATCGTGTGCTAACTGTGCAGAGGTGCTGCAGTGGCTGGAGGCCGACAGGCTGGCTGGCTTTCCTGAAGGGTGCTCCAGTGTGGGATCTATAAGTCAGGGGTCTCTGATGGGCTCATGGTGACAGAGAAGGTGTGTTTTGAGCCCCCAGGCTTGTCTCTCCTGACAGCAGAGTGAAGTCTGCTTGTACTTCCCACCTCAGGCCTGAGATAGAAGGCTCTGATGAAGAAAACCGACCACACATTCCGGGAAGCTTCCACAATTTAGGAAGGTCCTTTATAGCAGGACAGAAACCCACCAGAGTACTAGCAGGTTCTCTAGTGCAAGTTCTTGAGCCCAGGGTGCCTGACTTTGTCCTTTGTGTGTGAACTGGTTAGCAGCTGTCACACCAGCCACCAGAATACGGTCCTTTAAGGATGACGTTTCACACATATCACACATGAGGATGAGTCAGTTTCCCAAGGCCACAGCAACCCAACCCCCACCCGGAACTCTGGCCAACCCCTTGTCCAGAGAAGCAGATAGGACTCTGCTATGTAGTTGGTAACATTTTACTCTTTGCTCTTTGGTAGGCCATCATCCAGCTCCCAAAAAAAAATACATGGAGACTTCTTCTTTCTTATGAATGTCTAGTCTTAGCTTGGCTTACTTCTAGCTAGCTTTTCTTTAGTCATCCCAACTACCTTTTGCCCCTGGGCTTTTATCTGTTCCTATTCTGTATACGTTACTGTACTTCTTACTCTGTGACTGTAGTAGACTACTTGTTCATTTCCTGCATGCCCAGGCCTGAATAATCACACAGAAGTTTTATGAATACAGCACCATTTGGCCAGTGGCTTAGGTGTATTTCTAGCTAGCTCTTACATCTTGAATGAACCCATTTCTATTAATCTGTGTATCACCATGAGGCTGTGGCCTACCAGGTAAGGTTCTGTTCTGGCTTATTTCGTCTTCAGCAGCTACATGGCATCTCCTTGATTCCTCCTACTCTCTCTGTATGTCTCTTCCAGCCTGGCTATATTCTGCCCTGCTATAAGCCAAAGCAGCCTTTTTATTAACCAATGGTAATAAAATATATTCATAGCATACAGAGAGGAATCCCCCATTATGTGGCTTGCTGTGTATCTGGGTGGCTGGTCCCTGGTGTCCTCCTCTCCTCCCATTTCTCATTCTTCGGTCTTCTCTTTATCTCCTTGTATTTATTCTGTCTGCCTGGCAGCCCCACCTATCCTTTCTCCTGCCTTGCTATTGGCCATTCAGCTTATTAGACCAATCAGGTGTTTTACAGGCAAAGTAACACATCTTCACAGAGTTAAACAAATGCAGCATAAAAGAGTGCAAATAATGTCTTTGCATCATTAAACAAATGTCTCACAGCATAAATGAATGTAACACATCTCCACCTAAAACTGAGGTGGGATGACATCATCAAGGTCATACTGTCTGTCATTGGCAGGGCCCAGGTCTCCCGGTGCTTGGACCTTTAGAGTGACAGATGGTCTTAAAACTAATATATCCCAGGCCCTTTGGCCCCAAAGTACTCTACTGCCTCTTCTGTTGAGCTCTTGCTCTCCTGCCACGGTGTCTGGGTGTGGTCATTGTCATTCCATGCTCTCCTTATGTTGTCCTTGTGCTCTCTGGCTGCACACCCAGCCTCTGTGGACTTGCTTACATGCTTCTCTGACTACCTGTCTGATGCTGGACAAGGAAATGCCCTTCGCATCCAGCAGGGACTCATACCAAGCTCACTACTGCACAGAACACATTTGTCCAGCCCTGCTTCTACCTCACTCCCTGCAAAATAAAGACACTATCTATCCTCTAGCAACCAATCGAAAAGGTAGAGGTGGCTTTCTGGAGGCAGCCAACACCAGCTGCCCCCAGCAGTACCCACGCGTCCTTTCCCAGTTTCCCATGCCAAGAACAGAAAGCTCATTCATGGGGCTTCAGGCTTTATGAGTGGTTTCAGATCTGACCCTGCTGGTGGTTACTCAAAAGTAGTGAGAAAGGAGGAAACGGGCTTCTCCAAAGCATATAGAGTTGGGGTGCCCCTTCCTCTCATTCTTTTAACCAAGAGGAAAACTCACCCCTAGTTCATCAGCTAGCAATTGTCAACTGTTTTGATGGGTACAAATGACCACGGACTGCCTGGGGAGAGGAAGATTCAGGTACCCTGTGCTTCAGATAAGAATGCTGGAATGGGGTGGGGAGCCTTGACTGCAGTTTCTCATCTCTCCGTGTGTGTGTGTGTGTGTGTGTGTGTGTGTGTGTGTGTATTTGCATCTGCATACCCTCATGGGTGTCTTGAGGACACTGAAGGCTGGAGGCCTACATGCCTACATGAAAACAGTGAAAACATTCTACTCTTTTTCTCACCCAGATGAATCCATTCCTGTCTCTGACCCTGTCTGTGAAGCAAAGGGCCTGGGGTGATACTAACCAATTCCTGCTTTTTCCATAACTGCTGAGTATCTCCTGCTACTCTCTGCAAAGGCTTGTTCCTTGTTCTGCTCTCTCTCCCTGCGGGGCAAGGACTCTTGGGCCTCTGGGAAAGTAGAAAGGGATGCCTTCGAGTTCAGGAACCAGGAGCCATAAATAATAAGGCTTAAAAAACATCTTTATGCATGCTTGAACATTCTTAGGGCCCAGGAGAGAAAAAGGCCTATGAAATGGGTGTTCACCCTGTGAGCAGAAGGCATATGTGTCTTATGCTAGCTGTGAATGTGGCCTAACACCAAAGTGTAAACTTACCAGAAACATTACCTGATTTTCTCTGTGTGTGTGACTTGATTGTGTAGTCCTCACACAATATACATACATACATACATACAGTAAGCTACGCCACACAAAATAAAGCACAGGTATGCTTGCAAGCCACAGTCATACCCCGTTGAGTTTAATGTGTGGCTCGAGACAATTATTCATCTTTCAATGTAGCTCAGAGAATTCAGATGGTTGGAGAATCCTAGAAGACCTTGTGTTGAGATTTTCAGTTCTCAGGACTGCAAAAACTACCTGTCACTGACCTACTCCTGACCCTCTGTAGTACATCCCAGGGAGGGTTGATGGCCACATAACTGAAGAAACAATCATAAGTTGTCTCATGGTGACTGAGAGTCCTAGACCCTTCTCAGGAACCAATACTGCCTTTGTCCCATTCTCCTACCTCGTCTTTGTTCTTCTGCTCCCTGCCAACCCCTCCCCTCCTCCTCCTGCTCCTCCTCCACTCATCTCCCTCCTCTCCAAACTCCCCCTTTATACACCTATGTGTTATCTGATAGGAATATTAAAGTATGCTTCATCCCCCAGGATGTTGGAATTTACTAGGAACATTTGAAAGTGGTGTCACCAAAAGAAGAGAGTGAGAGGGGCAAGCTACAGAGTAAGGAATAAATGTGGTGATGGTCATTACTTCAGTCAGCAAGTCTCATTGCATGTTGCTTTTGTGCGTAGGCCCTGACATGACTTCAGCCAGTATCTGTAGTTGGAGGCCGCTTGTTTGTTCCCGGCTGCTCAGCTCCAAAATAACCACAGAGAAACTATATTAATTAAATCACTGCTTGGCCTATTAGCTCTAGCTTCTTTCTGGCCAGCTCTTACAACTAATTTAACCCATTTCTATTCGTCTGTGTATCATCACGTGGCTGTGGCTTATCAGCAAGATTCTGGATCGTCTGTTCCTGATGGTGGCTACATGGCATCTCCTGATTCTGCCATCTTTTTCCCAGCATTCAGTTTAGTTTTCCCCACCTACTTCTATTCTGCCCTTCCAAGGCCCAAGACATATTCTTTACTCATTAACCAATAAGAACAACACATGCACAGAAGGACCTCCCACACCAAGCAACCTAGAGTAGGTGCATGGTGGTATAGTAGGGAGCCCACAGTTAAGATGGTTTCATTGATGCCGTCATGTCCTTCAGTCTGAAACAGGACCAGAAATCAAGTCTCATGATTCCCTGTGCAGTGTTCAGTTGATCTTCCCACACTGCTCTGCAGCCACTACTTGGAGAAGGTGGGCTGCTATGGTTCCAGACAGAAAGGCATTGTCTCTGAACTTGGAACCTAGGATGCCCATGACCAAGGCAGCTCTCACAGGCCTGTTTCACTCTGCAGGCATCGACTACCGAGTGAAGACGGTCACTGTGGACAATGCACAGGTGGCTCTACAGCTGTGGGACACTGCTGGGCAGGAGAGGTGAGGTACTGCACACCCAGGTCCCAGGCCAGGGCTCCCAAGGAAGGTATGTACCTGACGCTGGCTCTCCCATGACAGGTATCGCTGTGTCACTCAACAGTTCTTCAGAAAGGCCGACGGTGTGGTTGTTATGTACGACCTCACAGCCAAGCAATCCTTCCTGTCGATCCGGCAGTGGCTGAGCAGCGTGGAGGTGAGCAGTCCCCTTCCTGGAAGGTCTTGGGCTTGCCAGACTTCTCTCTGCTCCCCGACTCTCCCTTGTGACCCTCAGCATATTCACAACTTTACCCCAGCCCCGCCTGCCCATCCTGGACTCTTCTTCCCATTTGGCTCTGATGTCTGACTTCTCCCACTCTAACCTGCCCCTCCTTCAGCATCACTCACCTGAACCATGCCCTTCGTCAGCTGCCGATCTGCATGTGTCCCATTACCAAGAACATTAAGGGACAAAATATAAGCAGATTTAAAAGTTTCTGAGAGAGTGGCTTACTACAAATCATTTCTCAAAATTCCTGTCCTTAAAAACACTTAGGGGTGTGAAGAACTAAAATTTGAAATGCTGTGGGTTGTCTTTTCACTTAACTAATGAAAGTGGGAAATGGCATGGGTAGATCCTGTTTGAACTTTAAACTCATGATGTAATCCTTCCCATCCTATCATCCGTGCAGTGTTATTCTCTTCCTCCCTCCTCCTATCCTCATCACCCTCCTTTTTCCCTTCTCCTTCTCCTGTCCTCCCTTCCTCTTCCCTTCTACTTTCTTTGTTGTTGGCAGTACAGGGAGAAACACTCCTGACAATCTAATCCAGTGGGTTTGTTTTTTTTAAAGACTTTTTGTCCTTTGAACCCTGGAATCAGGCTGACATTTCCTGGAAGGTGGGGCAGGGCCAGGAAAGGTTTAGTGACTGTGAGATTCTCCTCTATATGCTATGAATATGCTTTATTACTATTGGTTAATAAAGAAGCTGCTTCAGCCTATAGCAGGGCAGATTATAGCCAGGCTGGAAGAGATAAATGTGGAGAGTAGGTGGAGTCAAAGAGATGCCATGTAGTTTCTGAAGGAGAAGATGCCAGAATAGAACCTTACCTGGTAGCCGCAGCCTCGTGGTGATATACAGATTAATAGAAATGGGTTAATTTTAAATGTAGTTAGTTAATAAGAAGTCTGAGATAATAGTCCAAACAGCGTTGTAATTAATGTAGTTTCTATGTGATTATTTGGGTCTGGGCGGCCGGAAAACGTAAAAGCGGTCTCTGGCTACATACGTTCTCCTTTCTCTGTACTATCTGCTCAGCTTTTTTCCAGTTTTGCACATTGGAGGTCTATATAAAATGCTGTTAGACAACAGGGTTTCCATTTGAAAATAGTCAGTCTAGTACAATTTAGTATAATATATCGCATCTCAAAGTGAAGAAATGGAGTCTGTAACTTCTACAAATCTAGTCATTCTTTCCCTAGCCTCAGACACACACACACACACACACACACACACACACACACAAGTTTGGATCTGAGCTGGGCAGTCCTAAAGTCTGGCATTGATGGCAGTGATGGAGGCAAACACAGGACTGTGTTCTCTGCTGTCACAAGGATGTCACTAGTCTCCAGGGCTCCCAGAGAATCTGGGATCTCACTAGAGAGGAAAAGATCAGGCTGAATCTGGTGAACAGAAAGAAATCTTGGAAGACATTGCTGCAGACTTGAGTATGAGCTTGGTCCTTCACACAATCGCATGCTGAGCCCTGTGTGCCTCTCCCTGGTGGAATGGGGTCGTCAACACCGTGAGCAGGTGCTTAGGCAGGTACCTTACCTCACAGGAGCCTTGAGTCACTCATGGGCTTAGACACCAGGCTGAGGTGGTAAATTGTACATTACTAACTTGGGATCTTTTAAGTGTGGGTAATTTGTAGTTTGAATCTTGTCTTTTAAAACAAGTTTGACAGAAGGTGCTGATGAACTCTGAAGGAACTCTGAAGAGACAGCACCTGAGCATTGGACTCACCTGAACAACACTGAAGGCCAGGCCCTCCCTAGAGATGGACCGGCCCTGGGCCTGGAAATTAAAAAACAGAAACAAGCAAAAAGCAAAACAAATAACCAAACCAAAACCAGCCATCCCGGGGGTTTTGTTTTTCAGCCTCCGTAGTTCCTACCACGAATAAGTGCTTCCAAACTCCTCCATGCCTGGGAGTCTCTCGAGGGTCTTGTTAAAAGGCAGAACCAGTCATAGGTGCAGGCATATGAGATTTCAAATCTCTAACAACTTCACAGGGAGCCCAATGCTGCTTTCCCTCTCTCAGAATAGCAAGACTCTGAGTCTTTTTAAAGCACCTCCACCCCTGACCAGGACTTTTCTAAACACGGGCCATGTACCCAACACTGGCTGAACCTGAGAGGCTGGACCAGGGAAGCCTTCCCCCCCCCCCCCAGTTCCAGGGCTCAGGGTTCAGGAGCGAGAGGAGGAGGCTGTGTCAAATGGTTGACTGCGTGTTGAAGGTGTGGAAAAGAAGCATCATGGATATAATTATTCCCCCATTCTTGAAAAGCTAAGTCATTCTGCCTTGGCAACCGGCAATCAGAGGTGTCAGGTGATAGATTAAAACTTGACACCTAATTTGATCTGAGGGGAACTGAAAGTAATAAGTGCTTTATATTTGTGGAGAACCTTATTTTTTCAAAGAGCTCAGAGCACTTTGCCAACTCCCTCACCTGGAAAAGGAGGGCGGGGGGAGCTTTAATAACAGTCTTCAGGGCTTGAAGTCGTGTTATTAACGGAATGGTGGCCAGCTATTCCCACTCCCCCCATCCTCTCGTCCACCTGAAGTCTGGGAAACAAAGCCTTAAACTGTGGTGTTTGCCATGAATGGGGAAGATGTGGTCTTCGAAGAGGTGGCATGGAGAGGGGACAGGTGCACAGGGAAGGAGGTGCAGCTCCCTGAAAAGGCAGTTCTTACCCTGTCAGCTCGGCCTCTTCCCGGCCCTGAATCTTGGGTTGTCTATTCACTGAGGGGCAGGACCCTGTACTCCTGTCCTCACTCAAATTCTACTGTGCATGGCGTTGAACTCCTGGGGTCAGGAGGATGGCAGAACAAGAGCAGACACATGAGAGAGCCTGAGGGGCCTTTCAGCTTGGAGGATATTAGAGACCACCATGTAAGAGAACATCTGGAGAGTTACTCTGACTCATTTCATGGGAAAAATATCTAGAGAAATTGTATATGAAGAAAAGCTCACTTGCCCCACAGTTTGGGAGAACCAAGGACATGGTACCTGAACTGGCTTCACTCTGCCAGGACCCTCTTAGCTATATTGCATCATGGTGGAAGGTGGTGGGGAGACAAGGAAAAGTAGAGGGGCCAGGCTTACTCTCTTTTTGACAACTCTCTTATAAGAAGTAACCAGGGCCGGGCGGTGGTGGCACACGCTTTTAATCCCAGCACTGAGAAGGCTGAGGCAGGCGGGTCTCTGTGAGTTCGAGGCCAGCCTGGTCTACAGAGTGAATTCCAGGATGATCCAGGTTACGTAGAGAAACCCTGTCTTGAAAAACAAAACCAAAAGACTAACCAGGGACTCACGAGAATTATCACTACCTTCCAATGGTGCATGCCTCATGACCTAATACCACCTGCTAGGCCCCATTTCTCCCGCCATCGTCACACAGAGCAGAGACGGTATGGGCATCAGTCTCACTGAAAGGAAGTGTTCTGCGTGATGAGGTGGCTCTGCCGTCTCAACATCTCTCCTGCATCCCTTCCTGGCTCTCCCCACACCAGGTAGCTCCACATTGCCAACAAGCCGTGTTCAGAAGAGGCTTGGGCTTGGCCCAGTCCTGGTCCTTAATGACTCAACTGTGAGCCACAACTCCTTCCTGCCAGCTCTGCATCCCCCAGCCCCTCACCTTCTCATCACCTCTAGGAGAATGAATCTGACCATTCCGGTTTTGAGAAAGAAGCAGTTCGGCATGAAGCATGCCATATTAAGACCATGGACAAGCTAGATATCTGAAGATCCCCGGGGACCTGTGTCTGGCAGAAGTCACAGACTTGGGTACAGCAGTGCAGGCTGGTGTGTTCCCCAAATCCAGGCTGCAAATCTCCAGAGCCTGTTCTGCTTATTGAACTTCACTTTCAGATTTTCTTTTTTAATTATTCAGGTAACATATTGCAGTGCCTATCCATTAAGGAAGTAGGAAATGATGGGAAAGTGAATCCATATAGGACAGCATCTCTGAGCTAAACAAACAACACACGTACATATGTGTGTATGTGTGCGCGAGAATCTCTCTCTCTCTCTCTCTCTCTCTCTCTCTCTTTCACACACACACACACACACACACACACACACACACACACACACACCTCACCTTCCTTCTCCAGGCCTTGTTTGTCCAGTCTCATCTGAAGAGGTTCTGGCCCACTTCCCTCTCCCTTCCTGGTTGCAAGCGAAATCTCAGCCTGTGATCTTTGTCCTTGGTGACAGCGCACAGCAGGGAGCAAAAATAGCAGTTTGATTCCCCCCCCACATTCCAAGTTGAACTTGAAGTGCTGGCAGTTTAAAACGAACTGTACAAATAAATCTTGTTTTGACTCATAGTCCAGGGGGTGGATAAATATGGAAACCCTCAAGATATAATTTTGCAGTCATTTTTTTTCTTAGTATAACGGCGTGCTTTAATGTGCTGAGAAAAATTTTTTTTTCTGGCTCCAGAGAAATAGCAACATTCTCCCAGCTAAGTGCGTTTTCATGCCTCTAGCAAACAGATATTCACACATGCACATTTGGACATGTGCACACATGCTCACACACACACACACACACACACACCAGCTCAACCCAGCAGTTGCACACCCAGGGCTGAGTGACAGCCCTCTGCTCCTAGTCGACAGCTCTTGTTCTGTAAAGCTAGAGATGGATGATCTTAAATTTCAACAAATCTATCTTCCATCACACTCAAATGTGGAGAAAGGCAGCTATGGCAATCATACTTGTAGAGAGATTTCTCTGTTAGAACATTCTAGAACAGGGACATTTTCTAGAAGCCTGCTTTAAGGATCAGAGACTAGTGACTTAGAGAGCAGGGCCTGCTAGAGGAATCACCCAGAGAGAAGGAGGCAGCTCCCGGTCTCCTGAGGACAGAGTGTGTGCCTGGCCAATAAGAGCTTTCGAACCGGCTCCTTGTGCATATTCTGGGACTCTAGAGCATTATCAACAACAGAGGGTAAGAAAGAGCTGTTCACCGTAGTCTCCCAGGCTTAGTAGAAGAATACTTTGCACTTTCAAAAGGAGATGTTCGGCTGGAGGCAGAGCTCGGTGGGAGAGTGCCAGCCTTGCTTTCCATTCCTGTCACCAAAATAATGACAATGAGAAATGATGATAAATTAAAATAATTATAAATTTACAAGGAAAGTGTTGCAACATCTAATAGGTAATTATGTCTCTTTGTGCCAAGTAGTACCAGATATCTGAAAACTTGTTAGAAATAAGGAAGGCATAAACTTCAGGTAGATACTTCAGGAGTCAAGGAGAATCTGAAGACAGACACACAAGAAGAACCTCCTTATCACTCTGTGGGTGATGGAGTCAGGGTCACAAGGACTGTTAATTGTCACAGTCTCTGGCCTTGTGCGATCTCATTTACCTTGGAGTTGTGCCCTGTTCTCTGTTCTCAGCACAGCCCACAGAGGGGAAGTGAGCTGTCCAGAGTGCTTGTGCAATGCACAAGTAAGCAAAAGACGGGAATGGGATGCAGTTGGGAGTGTGACCTGCTTTTCTGCTCTTTCTAAACTCTCCCCTTCCTCTATCTAGGAATAGTTCCCAAAGAAGCGTGTCTTTCCTGAGAGTGCCAGAGTATTCGCTCCAAAGAAGGTCCATATCAGGCATGAGATGCAGGCCCCACCCCATCTTACTCAGGCATTCGGTTCCCATCATCTCCTTTGCAAGAAAGCTGCAGCCGTGACCCATCCTGCCTACTAATAAAACCTGGGTTGAATTTCTATGCCAAGATTTTAGGTCTGATGCTCATATTCACAGAATTTCCATGTCAAGAAATCCCACAAATCTTAGTCATTCTCACACATAAGTCTACAAATATATCTTTCTCATGTGCTCTAAACAGCAAGTCTTTTGGCCCAGCTCCCCGAATCCTCCTCTTTCCTTCCTTTTATGTGAAAAGAAAAACCTCTTTGCATAAGTATTCTGTTGTCTGCGCAGTCACAGGATGGATTGGGGCATGCCCACTAAGAAACACTCAGCTAATAGGAAGCCATATATAGCCATATATGCTGTTAGCTGGTTTTCTCAATGTAGAGAAGTACAATTTACTTATCAACTACCCATGCAATTCAGTTTATTTTAGTGGGTCAGAAGACAGGAGACATCATTGTGAACATACATTTCTCTCTTCCTAGTGGGTGCCATTTTTAGAGCGTTCTATTTAGTAACGTACCAAGCAGCAGAGTGCTCCCTAGAAATATGAATCTAGACAGCAATTTCAGAGAAGGATGGACCCATGGACTCAGTGGCCTTCATCTCTTGTTCTGTGGCTGAATTGTGCCTTTGTGGTCCTCTGAGCCTGATGTCCCCATTAGCAAATGAGGATAACTTTCTCCCACGGATCTGTAGTAAAAAAAATGAACATGCAGATTAAGTAAACACAGAGGGTTTAATTTCAGAGGAATTGCTTTAAACCTTAGACCAGGTGTTCTGATCAGATGCACTTTAGCCATTTGCATAACATGCCGAGGTAAAGCAGTGAGACTTTTGGCAAAGCCAGAAGTCAGGCTTATAAGCATCTATTATCCTATAGCCCCTCTATTTAGCAAAACATTTAGCTACAGTGAATAACTGTTTGTTACCAAATTATGATTAAAAGCCCCTAATTAAGTATTTCAAAAAGTAAAACAGCAACCTTCTTAAATGTAAACATTACTCTAATTACTCACTGTATAACTGTGTGTCCCAGGCCCATTGTTCCTCTTCTGGGGACACACATGTAGCACCCCCTTTTTGCCGATAGGGCCGAGCCTCCAGGATCTGGCCGAGATGCCACAGCCACTACAAGAACAAACATGGTTGTCACCTTGCGTGAAGTCATTTCTTCTGAACAGAGAAATGCGACTTCCATGGCACAAAGCTCTTCCTTAAGCCTGGCCTTCTTAGGAGTCAGAGCTCCCAGGAGTGTGAGTCCTTAGTGCCTTCTCCCAGTGAAGCTAACAGCAGCCACTTATGGAGTGAGCTCTTTGGTTCAGTACGATGATTCAGATTTGGGTGTCCCCTAAGGGAGCTCATGTGCCACAGAGGCTTTGTGGCCCCACCTCTCCTCAAAGCAACCACAGACCAGCTCCAGTCTACAGTAACTGATTTCCTAGGTTTGTTCTGCTGTGCTAGCCTGGGTCTGGTGACTTAGCAAAGCTCTGGAAGTCAGAATTCACCATCCCTTGGTGTCCATGCTCTCTCTCCAATCCTGCTATTTCCTCTTCCGTGCAAGTGGAAATCTGGTGTGTTTAATACAAGAGCCAGAGGTTGGTGAAAAGAGAGAGATCGTTGCATGGATGGGGAGTGGGGAGGAGGGGAGAGACAGGTCCTAGCACTTTGCAGAAGTATGGCAAATGGACTCGAATCTCACTCTTCATTGCTGGGCTCTCTTATGAGTCGGGACTCTTCCAGGCAGCCCTGTGAACCGGCTGTCTGGCATCATCCAGGGAGATTTCTCTCAGTGAAGGGATGATCTGTTCTGCAGGAAGCTGTGGGAGACCGAATTCCTGTTCTGCTGCTGGGCAATAAACTTGACAATGAGAAGGAGCGGGAAGTCCCCCGAGGCCTGGGAGAGCAACTTGCCAAGGTAAAAAGCCCTTATTTTCCTTTTTCTGGATAGGGCAGAGACCCTCCCAGTATCTAGGAATAAGCTCAGGAGCCCTGGTAGGAACTTCTGGAAGCCCTGTTGAAGGGAAACAATTGAACACCTTGGCATCTTGGGAATGACTCAGGTCCTATATGTGTACAGCTGCAAAGAGAGGTGAGGTTCACAAGATGGAGCTGCTTGAGGGACCCTGGGTAGGAGAGTTGCCCTAAACCCTTTTCTGTGGAGCATGGAATTACAAGTTCTAAGAAAGTGGGAGATTGCCCCCTCTAATCTTGTTCGGATGCTGAAATACCACCATCTGCATCTCCACTTGATCGCCCGAGACAATGAAAACCTCACCATCACAGCAACAGTGCGGACCACTTTGCTGTGGAATATTGTTGATAGATGATCTCAAAAGCAAGATCTGAAAAACTCAAGGGAGAGGCCGGAAAAGTCTGCAAAGTATCAAAATAAGTAGCGGCCTTTGGGACCAGCAGGGCCCAGTGGAAATTGGGGGAGCAGAAGGGCTCCCCTGTGCTGCTTTCTTGCCTCTGGTTTCATGGAACTGTGTACCCAGAAGAAGGCACAGTGTCCATTGATTTTAAGTTCTTGAATTGTTTACTCAAAACAGGAATTAAGCTCAGAGCCCGAAATGAGCACAGAAGGTAAGGATTGAAGGAGGGGATGCTGATGGGTCTGACTGGTGTCTGAGCAGGGTTACTGGGCACAGCCACCATCTTGACGTCCGAAGGATTTGACGATAGGCAGGCTTTTGGTTTTTGCTCCTCTGTTTGTTTGTTTTGTTTTTGTATTCCATCTAGCAGGATATCGAACTGGAACTGGCATGAGGCTCTTTATAAACCTTATCTCATTTATGGTGAATATCCAAATGTCTCATTAGAGAAATAGTAATATATTTGATTACAATGATCTGTCCCAGACCCACTGAGGGTATTATGTAACGTGTAGTATATGTTTATTACCTTTCTGAAATAAGAAACTTTGGCATTCCAAATACAATCTAGATAAAAATACTTCAGCTGAAGAATACAACCCTGAATTATTATCATCATCCCATTTTCTTTTATGTTTTCTTTTTCTATTTTTGATTCTATTTTTGCATTGAGGCAAGATTTACTATATCCCAGGATGACCTTGAACTCCAATCTTTCTGCTTTTGCCTTCAAGTGCTGGGATTACAGATGTGTGCCAGCATGTTCTTTTTATGCAGTGCTGGGGATCACACACATGCATGTGCACACACACACACACACAAATACACACATATACATATATACACATATTTAATTTTCAATTGGTAAAAAATTAATAAACACGTGGACAAGAGCTGAATGATTCATTCCAAGTGGAGTAGTCTAGGGCAAGCCATTGAAGCTGAAAGGCAAGCCTTGTGTTCCAGGTCTAGGTTCTGGGCCTTTCTGTTTGCACTTCCATCCTTAATGTGGCTCCTCTTATAGCCTTATCCAGAGTCAGTGTTGGGCAGAAAGTAGACAGGAAGATATAGAACATGTGGGGCACAAGGCAGAGACTGGAGCAGGGTCTCTGGGTGTGGATGAAAAGAGCTAAATTGGAAGCCACTGTTTTCAAAGCCTCCTGAGCTAGTCTTCAGAGGGTCTCAGCCACCACCGACACCGCACTCCAAAGGCAGAACGTCCAAACCAGAGCTCAGTTCCTTTGGCACTGTTATGAAGTAATAACCTATTACCTATTAATGGAAGTGATCAATGGACTTGGGGTCCTTGGCCCAGAGCCCCATGTACGCAGTATCACCTCTGCCTAACGAGTGATGGACGGTTGCCCCATATACTGATGCTCACAGCCTGGGCAGCCAGAGTACAAGCTTACTGGAGCCCCATGACCTCTGCCCAAGTCTACAGAAGAGCAATGTCCTATGACAGCAGTTTTAGGGGAGCCCTTCTGCTCATTAAATGCCTGACTTGAGCAGACCTGCCACGCTGCCTCTCTAGACTCGGTCTCCCTGCCTGAAAAATGGTAACAGCGTTGTCCACTTTTGCCTTTCTCCTTGCTTCGAAGACTGATGTGAACCTGAAACAAGCAAGTCCAGTCTTGACGGAGCTTCAAGAAAGCGTAAAGGACAGGCCAGCACTAGGTTACTATCATAGGATTGTTCTATTGTTATTGTTTGCCGATAGCTCCATACAGAACCAGCATTCATCAGGGGCCTAAGGAGAAAGAAACCAACCAGAACGAAATGGATGAGGAGGCAAGGCTGTAGTCACAGGGTTTGCTCCTCGGCTTTCTTTGGTCCCCACACTCTCCCAGTTCCTTCCACATGTCCTTTCTGCTCTGTGGTTCCAGGATAACAGTTTGATCTTCTATGAATGCAGCGTCTGTTCCGGTCACAACACCAAAGAGTCCCTGCTCCACCTCGCCAGGTAGGAAAAGCACCCAGCGAGTGAAACACTGCTGAGCGCAGCTGCAGTCGGCCTGGATGATGCCTGCTGCCCTCCCTAGTTCCCGTTCAGGCTGTATCTGAGCCTCTTTTCCCGTCTTCCCGAGCCCCTGAGTGCGGGGGTACAACTAGGATTTTAAGTGGGGGAACCTTGAGGGTCAGAGTCAGCCTTCTGAAATGGTAGTGGAGGGAAGACAAGCACCCCTGCCTGTCACCTCTACTGCAGTCCCCTTCAGTTGTAGAGGCTGCTCTTTGCCCAGAAAATGCACCTCCAAAGTGTCCCATCAGAAGTCCGCCTTAGCAGAGCTGACATTGCAGTGGGTTCAGTTGAGAACCTGCTTGAGATCAAGTGGAGTATGGACTCTTGGGTTGGAGAGTGGGGAACCAGAGAGAGATGGGTGTGTAAAAGTGAAGGAAGCAGGGCACCCTCCTGAAGGCAGGAACGGTGCTGAAAGGGCTGGCCACGTAGAAAAATTCCAAGAGCAAACTAAAAAGATGCAAACCACCCCAGAGCCTTTTCAGCACCCAAGCTTTGGTCCATCCTTCCAGCCAACAAGCACTGAGCGCTGCCTGTGTTACAGTCTGCACTCATGCTGGGGCATCTGAAAATATCTGACTTTAAGTAATTAAGACTGAAGAAAAGGTCTTCTATGTGTTAGAGAGGCTAAGGGTTGTGGTATTTACTGAGGGGAAAGTTCTAGACCTTTCTCTGCCATTGACTCACTGACTACATTGGGAATGTAAGACAATAAGTCACACCCTCCCTGCCTAACAGGTTGTGAAAATCAAAGGGGACAAAGGAGGTGTGAGTGCCTGGGGCTCACAGAGGAAGACCCTTCCTGCCATTGTCACCTCTCACCTCCTATGTTTACCCTGGGCACAGGCGCCATCCTGCAGAGTTGGCGACAAGTCGTGAACGTCTGCTGAGCTTCAGATATGTATTTATTACTGCGGTGGCCTGGCCGCAGAGTCACCAGGATAAAGGCACAGTCTTGGTCCTTAAGCCAATGCATGTGACCCTGAGTGATGGAGTCACACAGAGAGGGATTAGCGTGCTGCAGGGACAGAGGTTTACCAAGATGATCAGGGGTGGCTTCCCGGTGGAGGTGTCATGAAGAGTCCATGGCGACCGAGCTCTGTCCTCACAATTATAGTCATGCTTCCGTGTAGACTTTAAACACTGGTGCTCAGGTGAGGGCTGCTGGTCCACGATGCCAGCCCCCACCCAGCCTGGCAGTTTCTGCTGCTGACACTATCTCTTCTTCTCCCCCAACCCCACACTGCCCAGGTTACTCAAAGAGCAAGAGGACACAGTGAGGAAAGACACCATTCAGGTTGGCCCCCCAGCCAAGAAGAAATCCTGTTGTGGCTGACAGGAGGCCCTCCGCAGCCATCCTAACTGTACCCAGGGTCACCTTCAGCCATCAATCCTCCAAAGGCCAAGGTCACATGGCTACTTGAAGCAGCGCTTGGTCTCCTGTGTAGCAATACCTGGCAAGGCCCACCCTGCCTTGTCCTTGTTGGTGACTTGCCTCCCCTAATAGGAGGAAGCGCCTGCAGCCAAAAGGCTGTTTTTCTCTATCTTAAAGATCTCTTCTACACCCCAATACCTACTCCTTCCCCACCCCCAAGGTGCTTTGTGAAGGAAAGGAGCAGATGGGATTTTCCAGAAAAGTCACCATGTGCCTTTGACACCTCCCTTCTCCTTGCTGCATGCCCTCAGGAGGCGCTGCACTGTGGTTGCCATGGCAACTGTGCAGGGGCACCGTGATGCTTCTTGAAGGCCAAAGAGGTGCCATTTGGGTGATCCTGAGGTAGACTGCTTTGCTTTGGTCTCTGTTCTCCAGAAACCAGAGAGCTGCTCTTGACACGCATGTCATGAACCTTGAGACATTAGAGAGTCTGCTCCAGTTTCCAGGGCTCTCTCTCTGCTTCTTCCCGAGTTCCTGAACCACAGGCTTCACAACCTCTCCCAGCAGCCTCTACACCCACTGGATCTGTGCTGTGGTCTCTGCAATGTGCTTCCTGAAGAACCTCAATCCTGACCCCAGGGTGAACGGCAGTGACAACTTCACACTTGGAGTCAAACAGCAGGCGTATTCCTATGCCTTCTTTGACAAAGAAGCCTAATGAAAACCAAGAAACCTAAAGAAAACCGAAAGAGGAAGCCCTCTGTGGCCAAAGACGGTGGCAATTTCTGGAGGGTCTGAATAAGATATGTGTCGCTGCATAAAAGGCATTTTCTCCAAATACCTCTTTGGAAAATCACATTTGATTATTGACAGGGTAGATTGACAGGCAGGTGTGGTGGGGGACAGGGACCCAACACTGCGGTCATAATTATCAGCTTCATTTTATTTCATTTTCCTTTATTCTAGGAGGTTATATTCTTTTCTAAAATGTAGCTGTGATACTGACATTTTGCTAGTGCTTAAGAAGTGAGCTGCTTGTAGCTGCTGGCTTCAGCGGAGGGTGCCTGACTTCAGGGGATGACCTGAACCCTGCAAGGGCTCGTTCCCTGCTGGTGGTCAGCACTGTCTGTCTGTCTGTCTGTCTGTCTGTCTGTTCTGTTGCTGCTCAGTGCTGACTGTCTGTCTTGCCTGTTGCTGCTCAGCCCTTACTGTCTGGATGGTAGAAGGTACATCCTTGTGCTATTTGGAAGGCAAAGGTACTTATTTACAAGTGATTGACATTCCAAGTCAATAGCTGAAGAGCCAGGCACCAGCTCCAGGAAAGGCAGGAGGCCCAGCAAGCAAGACTCACTAAGGGGACAGAATATTAGGGACAACCCCACACAGCCAAATAAACACCGAGCAACAGTGAACTAGAGTTCCTAGGCACGTTTTACAGCCTCTTCCCCAGCCCCCCTAAGGAACGAGAGCCGCCACAGTTACCAGGCACCTGCCTGCCTGCATTTGTCAGGGTTTTTCTTTTTCTGATCTAGCATGTGCAGGAAACAGAGAGCTGTGGAGTATGCTTAACAGTCCTCTACCTGAGCGTCACCCCTATGAGGAGCTCCATGATCTCAGTGGGCCAGCTCCCACTCCAGACCCCTGCCCCATCAGTTAAAGACATGATGGCTTATTCGATGCTGGGGAGCGTTCTGCTCGGATACATAGGGTGCCTTGTGATGACTCTGTGACGCAGTCATCGTCCTTCACGTGTTGGCCTCAGACCTCAGTTTCAGTCTGGAGACAATGCCCAAGAAGCTCCTCTCCCTAGCAGAACGGCGCTGGTGGTAGTTACGTGTTATGTTCGTGGGTTGGAGCACGCAGAAGGGACATGGGGGCCAGTCAGAAGTAGTGTTCACTCTGCGTGTGTGGAGGACGGCCATGGGGAGCGTGGCTAACTCCTTTGCTTCTGAACAGAGATGGAACTGGAATACACTGAGCAAAAGGGCCGCACCTGGGATCCTCTAGGTCCCCAGATGCCTTAATGCCCAGTGCAATGTCCCTACTAGAGCTACCATTCCTGTTCTAAAACAAAGTGCCTTGATGGACTGGGACGGAAACCTGGTGCCAAGCCTTTGGACATGTGGCAAATCCCGTGATTATTCAGAGGTCCAGGAGTAGGTGGAAACCGAGGCAGGAGGCCTAGGTTGCCCTCCCCATTTTTAGCCCCACTATAAAGGAAAGAGAAGAATGTGAGCTTCCGTGGGGCTCTGAGAAGTCCCTTGTCCCCAGCTCTCAGCTTCTCCTCCTCCCATTCTTCTTAAGATACTGTGTGGTTCTGAGCCTCCCTTAGGAGCTATCACCCTGGCCCAGAGGTTGGCAGAGCGTTCAGAAGAACCTTCTGGCGCCATTCCATTTGTACCCCTGTTGATTGACCAGCTTTCTTGCTCATCTGTCATAGACTGAAAGTTTCAATGTCTTCCTCCCATGGAGCTCTAGTTACAGAGACAATGGCCATGAAGGACTCAGCCCTGTCCCCAGTACTTCACAGGTTCTGGTTCCCAGGGCCTGTTTTCTTGGGTAACAAAGAGTCACTGCTCAGCCCACTGTCCAGACCTCTGCCCTGAATGGACACACTTACCAGCCCAACTCATCTGAACATCTCTCTTCCCCACATCCTTCTCACCCATAGCTGACCCGTGCTGTTTTCTGTCTGCTGCCACCCACAACCTTAGGCTGCCAACACCAAACTAATGTCCCAAGCGTTTTGTTCCTGCTTAGGGGTTGATTCTCCCAGCGCCTTTTGGGTACTTCATGTCACCCTGCGAACATGCGGTTTCTTCCTTCTCACCCTTTGTACTTTCTGTCTGTCCTGTTCTTCACCTAATTCTGGACTCTCCACTCTCTCTCCTCAGAAGCCCGCTCTAGCCAGACCTGTGAACTTTGCCAAACAGCCCTCCCTACTCTGTGTCAGCAGTGAACAGTTCTCCGAAAGGGCTTCATCTAGTTCAACTAAGGTGCTAACAAACGGTGGCCCCAGGGCTGCCACTCAGCTTTAACTGGGAGCTCTAAGAATGGCAGTGCGTCAGGTCAAAGGATGAGTCTCTGATCCTAACATTTTAAGCCCTAGAAGTTTATAGGGATCAAGTATTTGAGACCATGCTGCCTTCTCCTCCGTCCCTCTCGGAGATCTGTTTGCTTCATGCATTGGGAGCTCCACTGCTAGGTTCAAACATATTCAAGCAATAGCATCTTCAGTATATAGTGGCATCCTCTGTGATCACTATCAACTTTCGTCTTAAAGTCAGTTATGTGATCTTTCTTTTATTTTCTGTTTACATGATATAATTTTTTTTAACCTTCCAATCTATGTATCTTTAGAGAGTCTCTTGTAAATGCAAGATAGTTGGCTCATGGTTTAAAAAAATCCATTTCCAGTATCTTTTAATTAGAAATTTTAGTTTGTTTTCATCAAATCTGATGAATTCCAAAGAATATGTCTGCCACTCTGCTATTTCCTTTCTATATATAATATATATTTTAGTCCTTTGTTTTTCCATCGCCACATTTTTTTCTATTAAATAGATATTTGCTGGTTCATTATTCAATTATCTTATCTGCTTTATATTTTTAAACTATATCTTCTCGATACTTGAAGTAAGGGTTGCAATGAACATTTCAATTTGTAACAACTTAATTTTTTAATTTAGGGCTTTACTTTTTATTTCACCCGACTGCTAACTGACTTAAGATAGCAACATAAATGAACAACAAAATATTAATTATCTATTTTTAATGCTGAATTCATCTTGAATACTAAGTAAATCCTAAAGTATGATTTTTGCAATATGTAACCTTGAGATGCTACAAGTATCAGAAAATTATGAATCCCCATCTTGAGTATTAGTTAAATAACAACTTATTTTAATAAGACACAAAATTCTGATTCTGTGTCGTTCTATTCTCCTCTCCTTTATGTTGACATATTATCAACAATTATCTTTATACCAGTGAGCCTGTTGTGTAAATTTACAGTTATTGCTTCATGCATTCATCCTATAGTTTGTCCTTTAAAAGGAGTTATGAGTGGTCAAGGTGCAGAGAATAAATGTCAACGGAATGCTCATCTATAAATGGGATGTCTATATCTCAGTCACCCTGAAACTCAGGGACCATCACAGAAGAGAGGATGATATGACCCTAAGAGCCAGAGGTCGGGGAGGACCAGGCCAAAACAGCATCTTCTGAGCATGACAGGACCTCTTCACACATGAATTCATTGCACCCGTGGTTGCCTGAACAAGATCAAGCCAGTCAACATCCCAACATCGGGTGGGGGATGCTCATGAACCTCTACCCTCAGACAAGGGACTGCTGATGACTTCTGGGGGAGAGAGAATCAGTTTTTCTTAAGGTTGCGGCCCCTGGGGAATCAACCAAGCTCCAGTTGATGGCCTAACACTTAGGAATATATGGACAGTGGTATTTAGATTCAGTGGGTTATTAAAAACTCAAATAAAGAACAAAAAAATTGGGAGAGAATATTGAGAGTGAGGAGTTGGGTTTGGGAGAAATTTGGGGAGAGATGGGGTGAATATGATCAAAATGTATGTATGTATGAAATTAGCAAAGAATTAATAAAAATATTTATTTTAATGGTGTCATAAGTAAAAGATACATTTATGTTATCTTTCATATTTAACTGTATAATTTTACCAGTGTGATTATTCCTTCATGTTTTTCATATTCCTGATTCTCTCTGTTTGCCTGAAGGATTCCCTTTGAGCTTCTCAGGATCTACCTACCAGAGCAAAACTCCTTCAGTTTCTATTTATCTGGAAATGTATTAGTTTACTCTATCTGGGGGTATAGTTTGGCCATAGAGAAAATTTTTAGTTAGCTTTCTTTTTCAATATCATGTCTTTGCCACCCCGCTGTGCCTGGCACCCATAGTTCCGAGTATGAAATTAGCTCAGCCCCACTGAGGATCCCTTGGATGAGATGTTGCTTTTCTCTCTGTGCTTTCAAAGTTCCTTGTCCTTCGTGGATGGATTTTGATGTCTGACTGTGGGTGTCTTTCCATACATCCTACTTAGATGCTGTTGGGCGTCTTGGATGGTTGACTAGGTTGACAGCTTTCATAAGTTTAGGAAGGTTTCTGCTGCTATTTCTTCTCATCCCTTCTCCTCTGCTTCCAGAATTCTCGCTATGCATAGTTGGTATTATTGATAGTCCCCTGGGTCTTTACAGTTCCATTCGTTTCTCTCCATCCCATTTTCTCGGTGTTCTCACTACGGAGAACCTCAATTGGCCTGCCTTCAACCTCACCGATTCTTCCCTCTGCCTGATCAAATTCAGGTTTTATGTAAATGTTTATGATCATTTATTGTACTTTGTAGCTCCAGAATGTCCATGTCGTTCATTGTTAGGATTGATTTCCTTTACTTGGTAAGATATGACTCGCCCCTTTTCCTAGTTCCTCAGGGATGGCTTCCCCCAGGTCATGTGGGCATATTTAAAATGGCTTACGTTTAGGGTGGCAAGATGACTCAGTGGGTAAAAGCACCTGCCACAAAAGCATGATGACCGACGGGGAAGTTTGAGCCCAGGAACCCTTGGTGGAAGGAGAGAACCGGATCCTAGAAGCTTATCTTCTGGCCTCCATGTGCATGTGCGGCAATTGTGCACTCTGGTTATACACACACACACACACACACACACACACACACACACACACAGTGCTGATGATAATAATGATACCCAAATAACTTTTTAAATAGCTTAGATCTCAAGTCTCACATCTGCCCTGTGTGCAAATCGAGTCCCTCCTTCCTTTTTCACAGTGTGTATA